TGGTGTTAACCCTATTCCTTCCGAAAACGTGTCCTTAAGGCGGAGTATTTTGGGGATCCCTCATTGCTCACCCCTCCACTCCTCATTCCATCGCGATGAGGGAAGCTTCTATTCATTGATTCCTCATATTCCACTATCATCAACACGACTCTGCGTCCAAGTGTACATGGTGTCCTACCGCATCAACGTCACAACCACCCTCAAACGTGTGAACAGAACATGTGCTGCAAACCTCGGACACGTGCTTAAGCTGTTTGAGTGGCCGGCAGCTTCCGGGACTGTCCCGCCTGGGCCGGCATCGCGGCCAAGAGCTCGGAAGCCACGCGCCAGCGCCCCGAGCCAGTGATGGCTGTGTTGAAGCCTAGCTCAAAGTTGAAGCGACACAACGCGGCCATTTGCGAGACCAGCGAATCCGATTCAGCCCCAACAAATGCAAGTCTTGTCTCACACATGCGCGCTCTGGAACAGACTGGTGTGCCAAATGTGTCTCATGGCGGTGGCAAACAAGCATGCCAAGCAAACCAGTGTTTAGATTAAACCGCCGCACATCGGACAGTTGCTGCTAAGTGTCCAGCTCACTCCAATAAACTGCCATGTGGCTGATGTTGGTGGCGCGCAGGTTGACATGCCTCGGAGCACTAGAGTAAAAAACAACCAACTGAATCATGGGGTGCATTGAGAGGAAAGGCCTCTCTCAATTCTCACATGGCAACGTTGCAAAGCAGCAAGCTGGGCGAAGCTACGGGATGGAACACCAAGATATGTAAGGATGTGAGGTAGGCGCTTGATTGAATGCCGTATCAATCCCCAGGACTCATAGCAGCTGCGGGAGGTATCAGAAGCAGTCTCGTTAAAAAACTTTGTGGCTAATCATGTCAAATGTCATTTGATTGTGCAACGGAGCCAGCACGGTTTGCAAGCACCTTGCCTACTTTGCCGGCCGGACCAACTGATAGGCAGAAGGACTCCAAAGCAACTTCCCACTTCCAATAATCTGTCGTTCGATGCACCTCCAGGCATAGAGCTAGGCTTCCAGGGCACAATGCAGAAGCACGTAAGAAAATGCAATTGATGGTCGTGCAAAAGAGTGTCCAGCATATATGCCATGCTCATGAAGGAGCGGCCACCTGCATTAAAGCCTCTGAACGCAGGCTTGCGAGCACGCTGTCAATGTACTTTGTGCTATGACTCAATGACCTGCAATGCTTTTGCCGGACGCCCACCACGGCCAATGTCCTGAAATTATCATCGTCTGGTCGAGTAGCCCCAGCTGCATCAACAGCGCCAATGTCCGCTGCCATCGCCCGCGGCAGGCATTCATAGCGCTGTTGGAACCCAGGGCCTGTGCGAGTGAGCATGTGCGGCATGTGGAACAAAGATTCAAATATTTCTGAACGAATCAAACACTAACACATGCCATGTAGCTACATTGACGGCCAGCAGTTCAAAACGGAGGACACTCAGGAAGTCGCATGCCGAAATAAGCAATCGGCAAATTCAACAGGCAAGCACAATATCATAACACTATAATCGACATTCAGGAAGGTGAAGCCCCGTCCCCTAGACCGCATGAGGCAAGCAACACCTAGACACATAATATGGCTTGTAGCCAGCAATGGTTCAGCTTCATGCTCATTCAACACTAAATATTCGTTCAGCATAACTTGTCATGCCATTGAGCCAATCACGCGGTCACATGCGGTCACGTTGAAACCAATGCAAGGAATGTCAAGCAGCCTATACAGGCATCAGCAAAAGGCAAAGCACTGCACTATAGGCAAGCAGATCCGCATGCGTTTCAAGCATGTCATGTGTTTCACGACATTCTCTGCCCCGGAGCAGGGGCGCCTCTAAACAGGACTGTTAAAGAAAAGAAAAGCCAAAGTATGGGCTTTGGGGGGAATCGGGGAGCTGCTACCATTGCCCAGCCGACCTGCGTTGCTTTTGTTGCTAGGTCGACCTTCGCCCCAGCAACTCTCCGGTAGCCTTTCGCCCCCTCTGCCAAGCAGCATCTGTGGCCAGCCCGGATGCGGCACGCAGCAAATGTAGAGCCCACAGCCAGGGAGCGGTAGTCATGGCGCAGTTGAAAGACACATCGCTGGCCTCTCGCTGCTCTCATTATCCCGCAGTCGATTTTGGCCCATGTCCAGAACAGTCCCACGAAAAAACCCAAGACCTTCCAAGCCTGCAGCCTACAAAAACAGCCCGAATCTGGCCGAGGGCCATCCCCCAACAGCTGCGTGTCCAGTGCGAGTTCACACCTGTTTATGGTTCCCAACCACTCCTGTCAGCTACTGTGATTGGAGCAGCATCCGGCTGAGCAACCCGCCGGACTGGCCTGGTGTCTTTGAAACTAGTTTCATCTAGTTCCTTTCTAACAAATCCGTCACGGAAAGGCAAATTATTATGCCTTGCTGCTCCTAATTCATGGTTTTGGTTGGTGTTGGTTGGTTTTGTTTGGTTTTGGTCAGCGGTTTAGGAAGGGGTCTTCTCAGCCGTTCTTGAATTTAACAACTGCAGCAGGGATTCACCAAACAATCACAAACCGAATGTACAAGCACCAAATGTTTACCAGTGGAGGGCATCCAATAACCCCCGCATCCAATAGCCGCCCCCACTACCAACTCCGAGCAACAAAAAGGGGAGTGTGCCCCATCTTGCTGGTGCGCAGTAGGGAATGAGGGAATTAATCTGGGGATTCCATAAAAGGAAACCGCTAGTCGGATGGCTTTTAAGGGTCATTCCATTTCTCATTCCCTGCCTATCGCACCAGCAAGCCATGGGCACTTCTTTTTGCACTCAAAACCGTTTGCTGCGCAGGTCGCACCCGGCGTCTCCGTCGGCCTTGCCTGGAGCCGCAAAGTCCCGAGCTGGCGCAGCAGGGCCAGCGACCAGCGCCAGCTGCCGCGCGCCAAGCGTCGGATGGCGCCGTTGGCGTGGAAGACTTGCAGCGCACCGTCTGCGGGGGACACCTGACGGGATTTGGATGCGTGGGTCGAGGGGTTCTATGCCAGCTACATGGCTATGGGTCAAAACCCCGTACCCCCCAAGTGAGCATCCCAATCCCCGCTAAAGTCGACTAAAATGGGTGGTGAATTCACCTACCCCATAAAATTGTACCGTTGGTGTTGACCCACGGCAGTTACTTGACGACACGTCAACTGTGACCTTCGTCTTCCAGCTTTGGACTCCAGCGCGAAGCCCACGCAATGGCTCGTGCTTCTCGCGAGGATTGGGGAGGCATGTGGCTTGCAACCGCAAGGCACTGGGCTGAATTAAACCATGAGTCGCCCGTTCTTCTTGAATGTCCCATGTTTCACAGGGGCCACTAAGGCCACCACCAAACGAAAAGCCGGCACCAAATGAAAAGGAGGACAACTTCATGCGGGGTGGCGGTGCTGAGAAGTGGCGTCAGCCCTTTGGTGAAGTGTTTCGAAAATGCGATTCGTCTCTTTCTTGGATTCGAACCCCAAATCAGCAAGCACGGGTGAGTTTGTATTACGAGTTTCTGAGGAACTCTGCAGCTGAGTTGTTCAGTAGCAACATCAGCAATCGTTGCTTGAAAGTTGTCACCAAGACATTCAGCCACCAAGACACCCGCATCAAGAGTCAACCTTCGACTTCGCCAACCATGCCCTCGACGAGCATTTGTTGCTAACTGAAGCCCGAAACTCGCGGGCAAATAGTGGCGCCGGCTGCAACTGTTGTGATTCTGATCAGTGGCCAGTTGCAAGCCATGGAACAATATCTGTGCTATGCAGCAGCAGCCAGCACTTGCTTCACCCTCAGAAATGCTGTCAACATCTGCCAACTCACCCCCTCACAGTTTATCACCGTGTGGTACTGCTTGAGCTATGACTGGGCTTTGCTCAAGCAAGCACGGCGACCATATAAGTATCCCCCCATGCCAAGCACCAAGAATGTAAGCCCGCGTTGAACATGTCCATAGCTGTGGGGGGGGGGGGGAGCACAAACAATCAAACAAGTAACTGCTCCTTGTTTGGGACTAGAAAACATGCCAGCTGCAACACCCAAACTTGGCAGTGACAGGAGCCCGTTTGGAGGCCACCAAGGCGATCCCCACCCTCCCCGCCTTGGCTAGCGCCTCCAGCAAAACGGGCTCCATGGCGCAGCATGAGGGGCGACACCTTCTCCGCGCACTATGGCTAGCTGAGGATCCCAGTCTGAGGCATTTGCTGAGCTCCGAGGTGTTCGGAGTGCGTTCCCGGTTGCAAGGTTGGGAGAAAGAATCTCTCATGCTCCAAAGGTCAAATTCTTCAAATGCAGTGAAGCAGCATTGGATTTGGAATGTCTGAGCTACACCTATACATCTGATGCATGATTCGAAGGTTGCTGCATCGATGGTGTGAATTGGAAAGTTGTTTGTGCTTCGCTGCCTATTTTGACTTCATGCTGAGAAGTGGTGCTCGAAAACAAAAACACCAGCGGAGCGAACGACCAAATCCAACCTTATGCCACTTTACCAAGACTCCAAGATCCAGCATGCAGCATAATATACAGGACAAGACTCGTCAAACACTAAACAAGTATGATAGGGAAGGACTTCGCGGCACGTTTCTGGGCAATCCCCCAAAAAAACCTGGAAGAATTAATAAGTCTGCAGCTGAAAGAGCAAGATGGACGCTTATGCACTCAAACAGCTACGCTTTCATCATGGATTGCTGTGGGTCGCAGCCAGGGCTTGTTTTCAGCCGAAGCCATTGCGCATTCGGCACAACTTTGCTCAAAGGGAGTGGGCCAAGTGAGTCTGCAAATGTCTCTTCCACACGTGTTGCATTCTCGCATGCTTCAATGCAGGCTGTTCAGCAGCTGAAATTCTTGAACAAATCACTTCAAATCTTCAGCCCACCGCGTCTCAGCCGAGCGAGTGAAACCAGCGTTGCACCAGGTAGAAAGAGGACAAAGCCGTGGCAGAGTGACCACCGGCGAAAAAGCCATCATTGGCGTTACATTGGCACATAGCCCATGAACTCAACTTCTACCAATACCTCTGTCCTCTCTCGAATCCCGTCAAATGCTCATAGGCCTGACCTGCCACAGCCAGCGTCCAAATACGTTGGTCCCTTGCTCCCATCACGCCCAATTCCATGTCGCCTTCGGCCTTGAAGCTTGAAATGCTGCAGGGTTGCTAGGTCTGCCACAGGCGGTCGCCTTGCGTTATGGCAGCTTTGTCTGCCAATTGCGCGGCACCTCACTGGCTCCTGACAAAAGGCAATGGTCCAGTGGCCAAGGAGTGCGCATGTTCCTTTAGGGCGACTTGCATTTGCAACTGCTTGGATGATGTACATCCCTGTCGGCCCTGCCAAATCACATGAACCTCAGGTTGGCAGCTTCGACGTTCGCAACATGAATCCAGAAAAAATGGGCTTCCAGTCCTAGCCAGACTTGAAGAGCAGGATCGCCACCTGCGGTGAAGGTGGCAAGCCCCCGAATTGCCATAGACGGTGCCTGCCCTGTGAAGGGACAAATCCGAATCGGAGAACATCGGAGAACTCTAGAAATCTGCAATGGCCTCAAAGGCCGCTATCATCCCGCCGGAATATCCAAGCTCCCGAGCACGAACGCTGGCAGGTGTGCCCGGTGGGACTTCTTTGCGGCCCCCGCCTCCCCCAAAGGAGTTTGAACAAGCACGGGGCTGCCCAAGCTGGCCCGTTCGCGAGGGAGATGCATGGAAACTTAACTCTGAAACTAACCGTTGTGAGGGTCCAACGAACTCTGCGCAACACCTGTGGGACGGACCTGGCCGAGGTAGAAGTAGATGAAGTGCTTCGTCTCGTGGGTCACATACGAGCCGAAGTTGCGGCCGACCACGGCGTGCCAGGTGGGGTTGTACTTCCTCAACACGCATCGCCGCTGCTTGCACTGCCAGTCATTCGCCAATCATTAGCCTTAACTACATCTAAGTACATGCACCTGACCTGAGCATTACATGCACCGCAGGGCGGGCATCCTGAGTGAGCCTCTCTCTAATCAGGTCTGAGTTGTTCTGCCTATGGCAGGGAACCCCACATTCTGCAGGCACTCCTCTCCCCCAAGTGCACCGCACAAATCCCAAAACCAAAACCAAATAAATAAAAAGAGCGCATTAACTTGTGGAGCTGCTTGTCAAACTCCTTCTTGATAAAGGCCGCAATGTCCTTCCTCGGCATTCAAATTGATCAAATGGAGCTGCGCAACTCTAGGCTGCTTTGCAATTGCCAGTTCTGCCTGAGGCGCTTGCTGGGGGCGGTGTGTTTGGTTGCTCATTTTGAAAGGAAGCCAAGATGAACTGGTGTCTCTTGCACAACGCCTCGGGCATGATCGAAGGCGTCATGCGTAAGCCCACGGACACACATGCGTATCGAACTCCACGTCTGGCACGGGCCGAACAGCTCCTAGCCAGTAGATTCTCCGATTCTGATGGGGCCTCCCATCCCCACCAAAAGGAACATGAGCAGTTGGTCCAGGATAGGCCTTCCAGCGACGACTATGAGCTATAGGAAATGTGGTTGTCGCCTCGCGGATGCTCGTATCAAGTCCCGGCCCCCTGTTCCACATACGGGTGACTCGTCTTTTTTTTGGGGGACACCCAAAATGCTGGTTTTCCTGATGGTTTGCATTGAGAAAAAGACACACCCATACTGTAGATGCACGACATCCTGTACCACTTTGAAACCATGCGAAACCATCGTTTGTCGATATTTTCAGGGGAATCATAATTCCAGGGCTTCTTAGGTGGTGTAGAATTTCGTCCATCAACATTGGTGAGTAATCCCAGCGTCTCGATGTTATACTTCTCCAAGGCCTGGGGTGCAAGCGTGCGAAACCCCCGCTTGCTCTGAGTAGCTACACACCTGTTAAGAGAAAATCAAGAAATTACCCGCCCACCAATTAACATGAAACTTGACAGGGGATCCCTTTAAAAGAAAATCGTGTTCCCGGCCCCCCCTGTCAAATTCCATGTTAATTGATGCGAGAGTATATTGGCAAGAGATCTGGCAGCCAACCAAGCTTGCCTGCGTACGGAAGCAGCCTTACACAGGGGCGATGTGGCATATGTTTGCCCCTGACGGGACACATAGCTCTTTCCAAATATGCACGTCCCCAATGCCCGCATTGAACCTTCGCACAGCCGCGTGGACCATGTTGACAAACACTACTTGCGCAACATGAGTCGTCTTCAGGAAACCAGTTCAAAGCGTATTGTCGGTATCTCAAGGGGGCAAAACATTTGGTGCCAAAACCATCAGCCTCTTGTTCGTAACCCCCACAGGGAGGTGTGCAAAATAAGTAGCCATGTCAGATCCGCGCAGCTGTGCGCCATTGATGCTGCTAGAACCTGGAAGCCCTGCTGCAGTCAGACTCTGTAGTGGTGATGTGTGTGTGTGTGTGTGAGGGGGCGTGCTGGAACATCCAAGGTTGGTCCACTACAGTATGGCACCGTGCCTGCGTGGCGCAGTCGATGGCGTCCTGCTGCATGTCCTCCGCCATGTCTGCATTCTTGATGACTGCCTTGCCGCTGTCTCTCATGGAAATGCAATCAACCGGTGGCTTTTCTGCAACACAAACGAGACACCCGAAAAGTGACTGACCCGAGGATGTTTGACAGCAGGCACGAGGCAAGTCTGACAGTGGACAGCATGCCTCGCACCCGAACTGCCCCGCTGGTTTGGCCGGTTGGCCAAGTGCTTGAAGCTTCCCAAGGGCCATATCACCTTTCCGTGAAAAGCCCTTCTTGCTGGATCGGTTTGATGGGCCTTCTTGCAAAAGCAAAAGTGTCAATCACTACTTCACATTGATGAACTCAACCCCCAGTTGAATGTCAAGCGTGTTGAATCGACTACAAGTTCTGGACATGAGCTTGAGCCATGCTCAGGAACTGAAGAAAGCCGGCCCATCGCTGCAGACTCGGCTTTCGCCGAGTCCGGCGACAAAAGGAGTCGTCGGAAGCGGTAGCTCGACGCATCAAGCCAAGGGCATCCAAGTGGCTGGTCAAAAATCGGTACCCAAAATGGGTTGCCCTGGTAAATGGAAACATGGACTAAAAAATGCGGTTTCCTGGTGGTTGAATTTTGACCCGTACCCAACTCACACAATGCCCTGGAGCAAAAGAGGGCTGAACCGGACGCAACACGCGCCACCATCTACCGATGGCTGTGGCTGTTGGTAATGCACCAGCCGCTGAGTTCAACTCGCTTGATGAGAGGCCGAATAAGCCATTCGCCCAAACAAATCATCTACTAGTAAACTGGATGCATCAAGCGGGACAACTCACCAGCCTTTCATGGAAATATTACACTAGCCCTAGCACCGCCCCGACTCCCAACACATATCCATTGTACCTTTTTAACTCAGATGGCAGCCGGCCTTGCGGTCCGCCATGGCTCTTCAGCTGATCAAATGTGCGGGCTACCAAAGCTCGAGCCAAAGCACGCTGGATGAGTTGACCAACCCAACGTGGGGAACCCACCTCAAAGAAAAACTTGGTACGCTTCCAAGGGCCTTTTAGGAAACTTTCTTCCAGGAATCCCTGTGTAGGTTGTTTTTTTTTGGAAGGTGCTTACAGGGTTAACCAGAGCATCTGCTGTCACGCTTTGCACGGGCAACCGGAACTGTGGAAGCGAATGAAAGAGAGGCTTCGGTCAAATCACTTTGTCCCATGATATCCCGTGGGATTGTCATGAACACTGATCAAGGTAGAACGCCCTTTCAGCATTTAACATGGCTGTGTCAAACTAGAGGGAGGGAGGCAGGGAGGGAGAGAAAGAGAGGGAGATACAATACATAGACAGATTCACAGATTCACAAAGAGAGCAAGAAGGAGAGAGGTAGAGAAAAAAGAGCTGAGAGAGAGAGAAAGAAAGAAAGAAAGAAAGAAAGAAATAAATAAAGAAAGAAAGAAAGAAAGAAAGAAGGAAGGAAGGAAGGAAAGAAAGAAAGAAAGAAAGAAAGAAAGACAGAAACAAAGGAGAGAGCAAAGTTGGTTTGTTTCAAATTGTGCCAATGCACTTCAAACTATGCCAATCGCCTGATGCTTTCCAATTCACCGCCCCCGCCCCTCGCCCATGCGCCTTGTCGCCTGGCATTGGGTGCCGGAAGCTGTCTGCGGGAGCTTCACGCAGCACCTGGCTCTCCCCGGCCGGCTGGGTCCGCCCGAGGGGACTGGAGCGGGGTTCGGGTTCGGGGTACCTTGTGGCCAAGGGTAAAGGTCTGGTTCTTGAAACCCACTTTGCCCCATGGAGTGACGCAACAGGCAATTCCGGCATTTTTTCGGTTTCACACTATCACCCCAATTGGTACAAGTACAGTCCTTGATGGCCAGCAAACGCAAACTGAGACGTCACTTCTCCCCTTCTCCCCCCCGGCTGCCACACCGGGCTATGCATATCATCAGCTTTGCGTCCATCGCGGCAAACATGGGCTGATTCCGACAAATGACAAATGATGACAAATGCCATCGACTGCCAGCCCATTTTTGTTGTGTCAAGTGCCGGTGCTACAGGCACATCTTCCCCAGGCCAACCTTCTGAAGCCTGTATTCTGGAGGTTGGACACAAGAATACTTGATACTTGGTTGTGACAGAAGCATGCCATACCCATCGCTTGGTACGTACAAAATGGCCTGGCAGATGGAAACCAAGACCGAAGACCTGCGTAACCCTGGCTCTATGACTTTGAGGCACACGCATGGGCATGAATTTTATATGGAGCCCTGTGGTGGAAATCATTTGGGGATTCATGTCCACCACTCACTTCTCAGGTGGTTCCCTGTTGAAATTCATGGCCACATGTCACATGGCGCCTCCTTCTTGACGCCTTTCGGGAGTTCCGGCGCGGCGCGCCGGCCTGACTTGTTCTTCAGGATTTGGGTGGCTCGATGGGTACGGGGACTTGATTTAGCTGGGAGGCAAACTCCAAAGTTCCCAACAATCTCCCACGAAGGCTCCTTTCTAGTGCAACTTTGTCAGACAAGTAGATCTTGGGCGTGCAAACGGACACATACCTTGTGTTCCGGGTGGCTCCCTTTTGATAAACTGTGTCAATCAAGCTACTGCTGGTTCTTGAGGGGCCAGCATTACCATTTGTTTGTGGCGGGGCTGTGGCCAACAATATTCACTTCTAACTCGTTGCCCGCCGCGTGGCAACACAATGTTGGGTAGCGGAGATGTGGTCGCGTGAAACGAGCTCATGACCGCATGTCGTGAAGTCGTTCTCAGCAAGACTTCACTTCTGATGTGCCTGCTGCAGTGGTGACACCCTTTGAACCGGAGTGCGTCACCATGATTGGGCGGTGGGATGCGGTGGGATCGCAAACTTTCAAGCAACAAATGCTCACGTCTTCTACGTTCACCTAGATTCATCTGTGAGGGCGGATGCGGGGGGCAGGAGGCGGGGGTGGGGCGTGAACTTGCCATAACTAGCTGTTTCCGCTGCGCCTAGCTGCTTAGCTACCCGTGAGCTACCTGCCAGCTACCCGCCGAGCTCCAACTATGAGATAGTGAACCGAGAAGATCCGCCAACTGAAAGCCCCATCATCTGGAAAACGTGCCCGATCCTTTGGGTTTCAGTCACTTCACTTCAGAATTCTTAGGTTCTACAGCAGCAGGCGAAGGAAACGATTGAAAGCAAGCACATGCACCAAGTGCAAACTGACAGAGCTCTTCATTGTCTTTCCTTAATTACTTTCAATGTGGATTCACCCTTGTCCCCATGCCCATCTTGGAACTGCGTTACTCTCAGTCGTCATTTTTCTGTTGAAGGCTGCTGGCCAATAGCCCCGCCCCGCCTTCGTCCATTGACCTTGGAGCTCATAAAATGCGCAAGTGTCAAACAGACTGGAACGGCCATTCACACACCAGACACCATCAGATAAAGAAGAAGCCTGCAGCTTGCAGCCAGTCAACTCGATGACCGTCATGATTCGAAGCTTGCGGGTTAGAGAAGTCTTTGTTTGCGGCTTGAGCACACGATCAATATCTTGTGTTTGTGGCTGCTTTATGTCTTTTGCTGCACTCTCATGCAGTCAGCGTGACGATGGCCACAAGCAGGAACCGGCCGATGGCCGGCAAGGGAAGCGAATCTTGACTCAGTGCCCGAGCAATGCACAAACCATTTGCTCGAGACTGTGTGCTTTGACTTCTGTGCTTGACTTGGCTCATGAAACCAAAAGGGGTGTGCAACCTGTACACTTTGAACCAACATGAACCAAACAAGATTAACAAAGTGTGCCTATCAACAGCTAGCAAAAAACATGGCTGCGCGGGAAACACGTCACACCCGCAACAATGCGCGCACGCGCACACAAGAGCAAAGCCTCCGTCGAGGTCTCTAGGGGGCCGTGCCGGAGGCTCGGCATCGTGCAAGGAACGTCCGGCAGAGCAACACAAAACACTCGACGCAACCCTTTTGTGGGTTGCGCTGCCACCGGTGGCTTGCAGCAACCACAAACCTTGAAGCATACCAAGAATAACAATGAACATATACTCACACACAGAGATACATGGCGTGTTTGCACCAGAGGCAGCTGAACAGCAAGTCTTACACAAGTTGTGCTGCATGTTTCGACTGTTGCCCCCCGAGGTGCTTGTCTCCATGCCCATCGCCATCGCCGTCTCTATGCCATGTTCATGCCTACATTCTCAGTCTTAACCACCCAGTCACCCAGCTGCCTGAGCCGGAAGGAAACGACGAGTCTCAGTGCATCAGACAGGAAGCGATTCCCAAAACCAGCGCCATAGCAGCCATAGAAATCCAGCCAGCAGTTTGGCCGATTTCTGCCGGTGCCAGTAGCATTCAATGCCCTTGGGTTCGACAGTGTCGGTCTTTTGTCACTTTCGGCAAAGTGAACGAAGATCTGCAAAGGCTGCGTGAGGACTGCCCCAAATGCTTCCTACGGTGAGCAGGTTCTGAGATGAACAGAAATTGACCCACATGGGTATGGGACGTCCCTCCGCAGGGTGTTGCTTTACGATGCTTTGAGCATCCTGCAAGCGGTTCTCTGCCAGTAGAGTGGCTGGCATTCTTCGTAGGCAGCGGCCCTTAATTATGGCTGGTGCCTTCATACGGATTGTGCAGGCACAGTCGCTACCCATCGATCACGCATGGAGATTGATCATGACAAGTAACTTGTGACTCTGATTTAGTTTACTTGCCAATGCAACTGGGCCACGCTTCGCAGTCGTAGCAAAGGAACAGTCGCAGGCTAAAGCGATGGTGCGGCTCAAAAAGGTGCCACAATACAAAGGAACCCTGGCAAATGCAACAGTAGACTAAAACCTGCCCCCTGGCTCTGAACGAGTTTGAGCCACACCCAAATCAACCAAAGGGAGACAAGTTCCTTGTCTGGAGACGTCCGAAAAGGCCACCTTGGGCCTTGTTCGCGAGGATGCTGAAGGTTGCGTGCACCGACTTGTCCTCAGCTGGCTTGGCCGCGGAACCACACGATGTATCAGGCACACTGTAGACAGATTTGGGTAAAGCAAACCAATCCTTAAGCCACGTGCAACTCCTGATGCCTGAGGATTCTGGACATTCACAAACAACCAATTTAAATTTAACAAAGCTGTCACCGACATCCGAAGCACTCAGGAACCCCTCTTGTGCAAGTTTGCACTCCAAACAAGGCAAAAACAACAACTCGCGGCAACAGAAAACACTCTTTGCCTTTTCCTTGGGCCAAACAAAAAAGGGAAAACAAAACAGCTTTCCCAAGGCTAGGGTCTGGCGTAGTGCCAATGAGCTTGGTAAAGCGCTGCGCCCTTTCAGACACCTCTCGGATGTTGGAGAGCGACGTGAGGTCTGAGAGCTGACTTTGGTCCTGTGGAGCATTGACATGTTGAAAAGTGCATCTATCGGCTGCCAAGGAAATCCCCCGGCTATTCAGCGATGTGGCCATGAAGCGCTTTTCAAGCACGTCACGTTCAGATGGGGCGGTCTCATGTGAGTACAAGCTTTCTGTTTTTGCCCACAAGAGCTGCAGCAATATTTCAGCTCATGAAGACCCGGCGTGACATCTGCTCGTCGCGCTGAAGTGGACATTTAACGGACGTGTCAGGTTGTTCCCGTAGAAACACCAAGCCCCGGGGACAACACCCAAACAGCTCACAAACACACGGATCGCTTCCCAATGTTAAGCAGTCCCGACTGAGCTTGGTGCTGCGGTAAGGGATAGATAGAGGATTCCACCTTGCACATGTAGCTTGGAGAATTGAGTTCTTGTGCCCGGCTGGGCCGCCCTTGAAGGATGCAAAGTGAATTCCAAGCAGCTTGTTCCCGGAGGCCGTGCAGGGCAAATCGCCAGCCCCATGATTTTACCATCAAAGTCACCCTCTAAGTGATAGGTTAAAGAGAACAAACACAGTTGCTGACTTTGACAACCCCAAGAGCAAGTCAAAACAATGACCCCAGAATCGGCAAACAAAGTCTTCAAATGTTCAGAACTGGGCTATCAAACTGCAAGGACACCCTTGAGATGTGCATCACATACTTGGTGAAACAGAATGAAACACCGACCTCCCAGCAACAAATCCAAGGAGAATGACAGGGAGCGCAGCACGTGTGATGCAAAACACAATGCCTCCGGATCGCCATGCATATTCTTATCACGTCTGATGAGGCTGCTTTGGTCCGCGTCCCATGGAGTGACTGGCGAGGTTGCAATAGGGGTTCAGGCCGGTAGGAAGAACCAAGCAGCGGCGGGAAGGTGTGCAAGCTCGCCCGCGCCAAAGCTCCGGAAGCAAACTCTCCGGGTGCTTGGGAGAGTAGTCTTGGATTCAGGCCAATCTGTGCCCCACTAAAAGCTAATGCAGGGCGACCGGCCGCTGTCCCTAAGCAGTCTCCTGAGCACTTTCCAACTCGCCGATCAGCAGGACGCCCATTATCTGCCTGTCAAGCTGCATTGCCGAGCGCAGGCCTCTTTCCGCACAAACATCCCTCGATTGCAGCTCTGACTCTTTTCCTCAAGGCACCCGAAACGACACATGCTTACACATCAAGCGATTCCTAGTCGACACTTGGAAAGTTGATGCAGTGGGGACAAGCTGTTCAACAACCTACCTCAACTAAGGAATGGCAAGAATCAGTTGCCAGTCCAGACCTCTGTCAATTTCACTACTGACACTTCTGTTGACTTCTGCTGCTTGCATGGCGAGAAAGCCAATGATTTCTACTAATTTTCACGCAAGGGGATGGCAGGGGTAAGTGGGCCACCCGTGCGTGCCAGGCCGCAAGAAACGCAGCAAGGGGCCGCCAAAGCGCATGACCACCTCACAGAAGTCATCGCCGTTGAGGGTCACATAGTAGCCTTGGACATGCTGCGTTGCCAGGCAGCTTGTGCTTCAAAGTGCCATGGAATAACTGAATTTGACTACTTTTAAGTAAGCATAGCATGGCAACGGTGTAGCATTCAGACATGCAAACATTCGGCCATGGCAACTTCCATGTCAGCCCATGCCATGGCCCCCCCAAGGAAAACTCAAACTTAGCTTTTTGCGAGAATCCAACCGGGAAATAGGCTCTTACGGCTCACGGCTTTCTTTAAAAGGAACATGCCCCATACCTCCCCAATGGCTTCCGCGACCAAAACCAGCCCCAAAAGGGTTCTAAGGCTTGGACCCAATGTCTTCGACACCAACAGGACCCAATACCGATGTTGTAACCCGGCGGATTCTGGTATGTTTCTCGCACTTGTAGAAAACAAAGAAACGGGTCACTGGTGGCTCTAAGAAATCAAGACAAACTTGCTCGAAGAAAGCCTCGCTATCGAGCAACACCGTTGCCACCCAAACATCAAAGAAATGTTGAAGAGCCCACATGCCAGCATGAGATAACACGAGTACTGTACTTTGAATGCAAGCATGGGCAAACCCAAATAAGGTCAGTGCGGCACAATGCGCTTGCACCTTGGAACGTCCCCTCCCCTGCGCTCAAAAAAAACACGGGTGTTCGGAGGGAACCAACTTAAATATCAAGGCGCCTCACTTTCCAGGACCCAGAAGTAAAAGGTGGTCACCTTTTGGGACCACTACTCAAAGTGGAAGAAGCGAAAACCAACAGGTCACAAAGCCGGCTTTGGACAACTGAGCAGCTGTTATGCTGCCTGCATTTCAATACACGAGCGCAACAGCTTCCTGCCATCACAGGAAGGAGACAAAAAGCAAGGGTGGCCAAGTAGCAGCTGCCAGTTCGGGCCATCAAGCGGCCGCAGTGGCTCCATTCCGCCCACAAGCACGGCAAGGCCACGACGCTGCCTGTGGCCGATTGCATGTCTTTAGTTGGAAGTGCAGCGGGCAACATGATTTACTTCCTCGCTGGCTGCGGCGAATCCAAGGGTAGGTGAGTGATTGTAGTGACTTACAAGCACTCTAATCCAACGTTGCCTGCACCGGCTGCCTGCAGTCTCACAAGCTGACAGTCCATCGGTCCATTGCCTGGGGTTGCTTCTTCTGGCGGAGCACCAGCTAGGGAGTAGCTCATGTGGCCGCTTTCAATGATACCTGGGCCATGGAACTGATGACCCAGCAGAACCCACGGATTCGCAACTGGCAAGGCGCAAGTCCAAAGATTCGTGGCTACACAGCACGTACAGTATTCTCTGGCATTCGTGCGACCAAAGCCATCAACAAACGTGCAAGCAGGCAGGCAAACACACACCTTCCTCCGCCGTGAGCAAACAAACAAGCAAACAAACAAGCAAAGGCACAAGCAAACCAAAAAGCAAAGCAATCAATCAATCAATCAAGCAAGCAAGCAAGCAATCAATCAAACCAATCAAACCAATTAAACCAATCAAACCAATCAAACCAATCAAACCAACCAATCAAATTAATCAATCAAACCAATCAGACCAATGAAACCAATCAAACCAATCAATCAAATTAATCAAATAATCAAATCACATCAAATCAAATCAATCAATCATCAATCAACCAACCAACGAACCAGTAAGCAAGCAAGGAAGCAAGGAAGCAAGGAAGGAAGCTAGGAAGCAAGGAAGCAAAAAAAAAGCAAGGAAGCCAGGAAGCAAGGAAGCAAGCAAGCAAGGAAGCAAGCAAGCAAGCAAGGAAGCAAGGAAGCAAGGAAGCAAGGAAGCAAGGAAGCAAGGAAGCAAGGAAGCAAGGACTAAGCAAGGAAGCAAGGAAGGGAGCAAGGAAGAAAGCAGAGCAAAACAAACCAAAGCAACACAACGCAAAGCCAGCAAAGCCAAGCAAAGCCAAACACACAGACAAACATCGAGCAGACAAAAAGCAACAAGCAAACAAACAAGCAAGCAAATAAGACAAACAAGCGAACGCGTGAGGGATCCAACAAGCAAGCAAACGAACGAATGAACATACACCACACAAACAAACAAACAAAATAAATACAACGCAAAACAAAAAGGGAAACCATGACAAACAAAAACACAAACACATAAAACAACAAACAAACAAACAAACAAACAGACAGACAGACAAACAAACAAACAAACTAACAAACTAACAAACAACCAAACAAAAAACACCACAAACAAACACACAAACACACCAACACACCAACAAACCACTAACAAATAATTCAATCAACCAAACAAACAAGCAAACAAACAAACCGAGCAAGCACGCAAGCAAGCAAACAAGCAAGCAAGCAAGCAAGCAAGCACGAAAGCAAGCAAGCAAGAAGGCAAGAAAGGAGGCAAGATAGCAGGAAAACAAGCAAGCAAGAAGCGACCTGAAGCGGAGTAAAGCAAACAATCGAGCAAGCAAACAAACACAAATAAATACAAACAACATAGAAAACACAGTCATACATTGGGGAAAAACAAGCAAGCAAGCAAACAAACAAGCAACACAAGAACAGACACGCAAACAAACAAACAACCATAACCAAACGAACAGATGAACAGACAGACGGACGGACGGACAGACGACCAGACAGATAAACAAGACAGACAAGACAGACAAGACACACAAGACAGACAAACCAGACAAGACAGACGAGACAAACAAGACAGACAAGACAGAAAAGACACGCAAGACAGACAAACCAGACAAGACAAGCGAGACAACAAGACAGACAAGACAGTCAAGGCAGACCCAGCAGACAAGACAGACAAGACGGACCACGCCAGACTAGACAAGACCAGACCAGATATGACGAGACAAGACCAGACAAAACCAGACAAGACCAGACAAGACCATACAAAACAGACAAACAAACAATCAAACAACAAAACACAAACGCAACCAAACAAGAGAAACACGCCAACAAACAAACAAACAACCTAGCAAACACATAAACTTAGAAACAAGCAGGCGAGAGAGCGAGGGAGCGAGCAAGCGAGTGTACACTACAATTAAATAAACACACACGACAACCCAAAACAAACAAAAAAGAAACAGCAACAAACAGAACACTCAAACACACATGCAGGTCGCGCTGAGCCTTTAAGCCAAGATTCAAACATGATGGCAGGCAGTGCCCGGCATGAAAACATCCTCTCCCGGCTTGGCCAAATGGTCCTTCAGTGCGAGCAATGCTGGACGCATACGGTTGGGGGCAATGTTTGTTGCACGGCGAGCCATGTTCCAAGATGGTCCAAGTCAAACTGCTCCCTGAAGCAGGCATCCTCTAAAATAATGATGTCCAAAGCTGGGCAGAACGTGTTCTAAACTCCCCTGCCGAAACAAAACAAAAGTTTCAGAGTATAGTGGCCACCCAGTGCAAACAACGCTTCACACGAGCCCAAAAACAGGGTTCCGGAATGCTGCCATAGCAAACAGGACTTGGCCCGCACCCGGCCTTCATAGCGCTGGGTTACAGGACATTCAGGGTGTTTTGGGGCCCTTTCTGTGGATGTTCCTATAAATTTACCCTTTGAGGCCTACATTCCAAGAATCATTCATAATGGCTCGCGTAAGCAGGGAATGCTATTCTCTTGCCCGCCGTCCAGCCGCCCTCTTTTTGTTCAATCGGGAAAAGGTCCTTCATGGCATGGTGGCACAAGGTGTTGAAGACAGGGTCGGTGTCCTGGGCGGCACTGGCTGTGGCCAAGTCGGCCCTAGAAAGCGGAACCCGAATCAGGAGTATCTCGCAACGCTCCAGCTGCCGTGTAAAGCTTGCGATGCTTGCGCTTGGCAACCGGGGCTGGTCTGATAGAACCTGGCTTAATTTCAGACTTGACCTGCAAGCCGCCGACTGTCTCTTACTGTGAAGCCTAAGGGTCCTGCCCATGACGTATATGGCAACCGTTCAAATTTCAGTGACCCAAAGCAATTCTAAGGCAGCGGCTGGACTGCTCCAAGGTGGCCAAATGCCCAAATGCAGCAAGGCAAAAAGGTACATCTCCTCGCTTCAGTCAAGCAGAGGGCTGGGAATGACTGCTGTGATACGACAAAAAGGGCTTCCCAAAAAACTAACCTTTTCCCCCACAAGGGGGAGATTCCCTTGCATCACAGTGGGGATAAACCCCCTGATCCCAAAGTCTTGGGAGTCAAGCAGGGGGATGGAAAAATATGCACCAACTTCTTTCAACTCGTGCCCTGAGCCGTGCCTGGCGCACGAAGAACGAGCACAGGTCACTGGTCACCGGAAACTCTATTCCGTCAGCCGGACGCCTTTGAATGCTCGTGGGACTTGGCTTTGAACCATCCAACCAAACGACTAATTCAAACATGCTAATTCTAAGGAGCAGATTCCTCCTCGTGGCTTACTCGCCTCCTGAGTGTGAGTGGATTGGCCAACAAGTCTGCAGCTGTTTGCTACCAAAAACGGTCTTCCCAACAACTAGAAACTTGGCACATGATACAAACAAAGAAGAAGAAGAAGAAGAAGAAGAAGAAGAAGAAGAAACAACACGTTCAACCACCTTTGGCCATGCACGCCAGGTGCCATCAGCCCAAAACCTGATATCCTGCGGAGCCGCGAGCCTCGTGCATCTGCATCTTGAAGCGCTGCGGCAATCTCTGCAACAGCTCCACCTGCCACCCCATATCCATCAACCAACCAGTTCCCTCGGTTGCTTTCTGCTCCCCTGCCAAAGCTTAACTTTTAGTGGTTCAATGGAAAATCCAGTAGTTGGCAAAAAGTTGAAGTCCTAAGATCCAAGCAAGATGCACCAAGTTTATCAATAGGGTGAGGGCCCCCCAAAAGTGGTCCGATTCCCCACATTTCACACAGGGGCGTGTCCCCGTACTAATAAACTGGGGTTGTTTAACACGGGGTCAACATTAGTGTCTGAATCGGGGCATCTGATTGATATCCCCCCTCCTCTGACCCGCCTAGTCCAGTTTCCAGGCCCCCATCCTGCGTAATGACGTCCCTTTTCGCCTTTTAGTCCCCGAAATTGCAAACACTGCAAGATTGAATTGACCCAGCGACAAAACTCATGAGCAACAGGCATAAGCAGGCATAAGCAGGAGTTGTCAGCAACCCCAGAACGCTTGTCTGCCAGGCTCACACAACCTTTGCCGGGCGGCAAATGGAATGCCATCGGGACACAAGCAACCAGAACATCAACAGCACACCGCCGGGACATCACCAGGAACAATGCCGGGAAAATCCACCTGAACAACCGCAGAAGGATACCCACACACACCCGAATCGGGACCAGCCACAACGAAACCAGAACACCACCGGGACAACTGGCACACCGGGGACACCTGCAGAAGACCTGGGCACATACGAGAGAGCAGCGCATTTGGCAGAATACGACTGCCGGCACAGCAAGCACAACCAGAACTGAGAGACACCACCAGAGACAACTGGCAATGTCTTCACCTTCCCATCCCAGTCCTGGCGAAGTACCTTTCAAACAGGGAGGATCAATCTTGGAGGGGGGGCCCTCCAAACTTTGGTTTTCGGACATTGTCCACCGAAGGGGGGGAATCTATGGAGGTGATCACTCAGACGGAAACATTACTTCGGAACGTGGTTGGAACTGAGTTGTGATCAGATTCGGCTTGCCGACAACAACAACCAGCCAGGTCAGGGCAAGGTAAACTCAGCCAACCATGGCCTCAGAAGTACCTCCTGTCAAATCAACCCCGACAGTAAGTGCCCATTTAATTGCTATTCATTCAATTTTTTGCCGCCAGCGTCGGGGACGGGCGTTAGGCATGAAACCAACCCTCCAAAGGAGTCCCTCCGCAAAGGCAACCCCAAAAAAAAACGCCTCCTCCTCGCTGAGCCTCGCTTCTGTGAGGCGCTCCCTGCGGACCACCTCCTGCACTTTGCTGTAGAGATCCAGCGAAAGGTTCCTGAGACACGGCCCCCCTTGGGGTGCTTCAAGCGAAAGCTGATCGTCAAGTCACACATGACTCATGACTGATTTCAATATAGACATTGACCACTCTAGAACCCCAGGTTTTTGCCAGGGGCCACGTTCTGGCCTGGTAGCCAAATCACCGCGAACAAAAAACCACTGAACACCCGCCAACATGTGTACGAGCCCCAGTCCTCTCAATGAAGAAACGCAGTAGGTTTTCCTCCTGCTTCAGCTTCTGCCCCTGCGCGTTGCGCAACGAGTTCACCGTCGCACTGATGGTGCCAATGAAGGAGGAGAACACGCACATGGCCAGCAGGATCACGCAAATGGCAAAGAACCTGCACAGGTAAACTCCAGCTTCACACCTGCAAAATCAAGCTCTTCTGTTTAGCTTGAGTATGCTGCATTGGCGCGCTGCACGTTGCTAGCTTCAATTCGACCAAACCCCAAATCGGGCAACATTGGATTCGAATTCGCAAGTTCTCGAACAATCCTGATCGAGTAAATGTGCCGAGGACCCAAACCCTATATGTTGAGGGACATGTCCGAACCAATGCTAAACCAACTCTAACCCGAAATTAAACCAACTTTAAAACCGATTCGAAGCCCGTGCAAATCAACAATTCAGCTGATCGAATTCCTTGCTCGAAAATTGCCATTTCGAACAATGCTTGGGCCCGGAAAGGGGGGCATCCCGTTTGGACAAGGACCGAAGAGGAACCTCCCCGACGCAGCAATGGATCTTTTGTTGCCCAACACAGTAACTAATACAAGTAATATTTGTTCGGCCCCTAGGCGAATATGTTCAATAGGGGGAGCACGTTACTACTGGAAAGTGATGATGTCAGAGCGTCGTGCTTGACTCAATTGGAACGCTGCTCCCCGGTTCCCATGCAAACTGAGTGATCTTTTAGCTTCATTGGTGGCCTCAGGTGCTGGCTCCCGTGCCTCTCCAGGGCATTGTCGGGTGCGATGCTGTTGGTTGCCGGGGTGAACCTCAACTCACCGCGGTCAAAAAACCGCAAAAGCAACAAACACCCAACATGCTTGATAAAAAGTCAACGGCCGGGGCAGCATGGATGGGTCGTTTCCCAGTCGTTGTCATTCTCAATGCCTCTGACAGGTGCCCAAAAAAGCCGCGGTCTCTCATTGGCCGGCAAGCTGGGCATAGCGCAGCTCCGTTTGCTTGAGTCCCCTGGAAAAAAACAGTTTTCCAGTATAGTAGGAATCGATTCTCGTTGAAATCAACAGGGGAAATAAACAATATATATATATATATACTATATATATATATATATGTATATATTTCAGCAAATGGAAGAACGCAACAGGCGCAAGTTCGCCCATCGAAGCACATCGAAGCGGAACCCGAAGGAAGCGCCGATTTGTGGCCCGGTCAGTTGCCATGACGAGCCGCTGCGTCAGGGACCAGTGGAGTGACGCCACATAGGCCTCCGCAAAACCGGCCTGCCGAGCATTCTTGGTTCATGTGCTGATCTTGGCTGGGCCAACGCAGGATGTTGGTGGGAGAAAAGACCTCTCACCCAGAAATCAGGATGGCTGCCTGTTTCCTGAAAAAGTCTTAAGCCCAGGTTGGCGCGGGAAGCCCTCTTTTCCCTGCAGCCCGGCGCCGCAGCTTCCCGCACTCCAGGGAGCCCTGGAGACACCTGCTGGTGGCACGGAAGGCACCGCAACAAAGCGCGGAGCCGCTTTGCGTGCAAAAAAACTCCGGCCCAGCGCCACAGTGGGGGCGTGTCACGGCCGACGTGCTGCCCGTTGCCAGAATGAGCCAGAGCAAGAACGTGCCAAATGCGTGTGCGTGTGTGTGTGCGTCTCCAAACAAGCCTCGCAAACGCCTAAGGGCTGACGTTTGGCGTCAAAGCTCACTCTTGCCAACCAATCGTCCTATGCCGCTCACTTCTTGGACAAGAACATGGCTGCCTGCAAACGGGCTGCCGCCTTCTTCACCTGCAAAGGCGCCATCTGGAATTGCATATCACCAGCTGGCGTCGAGCAAGCTTGACCACAGCCCCACTATGAACGCAAGCCGAGTGCCAGAGGTTGGGGCAAGAAACAAGCTCCAGTAAGAACACTAGGGCAGGAGAAAAGACAAATTGTTGAGGACATCCGCCAGCCAATGGAATTTAACATGTTGGCACTTGATTGACCCAAGAACTAGCGGGTTGTTGCCTATCTTGAATGGTCCTGCAAATACCAAATGCTACCACAGTATAGATTGAGACTTGGCTGGCAACGGGCCCCCTTGCCAGGCTCCCTCTACAAGCACGTCCCCAAGAGTAAATCAGGGAAGCCATGAGACTGTCACAACATCATGCGGCATCCCGTAAATGGACCGCAATGCTTCCACAGCCAGGCTCCGTTTCGTCCAGCATGTACTCTGACCAACACCCATGTGCAAACATGTCCACCCACGCAATCAAAGCAACTTGGTGAGTGGTTCCTGCGCGCATCAGCAAAACGTGCCCCGTCTCTGGCCTTGTTGGTTGCTTCCAGCTTGTCCTCTGCCACTGTACAAGCTCCAGCTGTTGAGGCAGGTCGGTACATTCTGTGCAAGTCCCCTAGCTGTTCTGGGAATTTCGCAAGCTCCCCTTTTCTCCCAAACGGACCATAGACTAGCGGAGCTGCTAGCCCAAACCTATCGGCAGCCTGACCTTCCAGAATCTTGCATTTGATTCGGATGCCCGCTGTGGTCCGAAAGGCTCCTTCTTCGACTCCGCTTTCTCCATCATGGCCGTGGCAGCCTCCAGCTGCTTCTGCGCCTCTGCTGCGTCGATGTCATCCGCCTTCTCCTTAGGCTCTCCGGAACGGCAGCTCAACCTGCTGGTTCAATAGGCATGGAATGAGTTGGAATGACCAAGAAAAACCATCCATCCTTTATGGTGTCCTTTGTTCGGGAATCCCTGTCCGGTTCGTTATGTTCGTTCCTAAAATCCGGGCTCGGTCATTCATTCCCGGGGCATACCCATTCACCCGGCTATGGCTCGAAGTCGTTCACCAGGATGGACAGCGAGTTGGCATCGATGCTGGCGAAGCCCCCCAGAACAACAATGGGCTTCCATACGCCATCCTCCTGGCGCTGGGGGATCAAGGCAAAGATTCCACTGGAATGTGTCAGGCGCCACAGCTCTGAACCATTGCTATCCTACGCCTGCTACCTTGAAAGCCCAAAGCTGTTCTTCAGTTTAAGCAGCCCCGAAAACATCCGACAACCACGCGCCACAGCTGGAAAGCTCACGCCGAATCAATGACGAAACGAACGGAGTGTGTGTGTGTGTGTGTGTGTGTGTGTGTGTGTGTGTGTGTGTGTGTGTGTGTGTGTGTGTGTGTGTGTGTGTGTGTGTGTGTGTGTGTGTGTGTGTGTGTGTGTGTGTGTGTGTGTGTGTGTGTGTGTGTGTGTGTGTGTGTGTGTGTGTGTGTGTGTGTGTGTGTGTGTGTGTGTGTGTGTGTGTGTGTGTGTGTGTGTGTGTGTGTGTGTGTGTGTGTGTGTGTGTGTGTGTGTGTGTGTGTGTGTGTGTGTGTGTGTGTGTGTGTGTGTGTGTGTGTGTGTGTGTGTGTGTGTGTGTGTGTGTGTGTGTGTGTGTGTGTGTGTGTGTGTGTGTGTGTGTGTGTGTGTGTGTGTGTGTGTGTGTGTGTGTGTGTGTGTGTGTGTGTGTGTGTGTGTGTGTGTGTGTGTGTGTGTGTGTGTGTGTGTGTGTGTGTGTGTGTGTGTGTGGTGTGTGTGTGTGTGTGTGTGTGTGTGTGTGTGTGTGTGTGTGTGTGTGTGTGTGTGTGTGTGTGTGTGTGTGTGTGTGTGTGTGTGTGTGTGTGTGTGCGTGCGTGCGTGCGTGCGTGCGTGCGTGCGTGCGTGCGTGCGTGCGTGCGTGCGTGCGTGCGTGCGTGCGTGCGTGCGTGCGTGCGTGCGTGCGTGGGTGGGTGGGTGGGTGGGTGGGTGGGTGGGTGGGTGGGTGGGTGGGTGGGTGGGTGGGTGGGTGTGTGTGTGTGTGTGTGTGTGTCGGTGCGTCTGTGTCGGCATCTGTGTGGGAGGGTGTGTGTCTGAAGGTCCTTGTAGCGCAGGACGCCCGTGTCCAGGGCCGACATCCTCGGTCTAGTCCGATAAATTCAAATGAGGCGATTCTAGCACGCCTTCAAATTCAAAGAGCACCCCGGGCAAAGAAATGTTGAGCATAGGGACACAGCGTGACACTTGGTTCCGGGGTACGCGCGTTGGTTCAGGAATGCCCCATGTTCATTTTGAATTGGCTCGTTCGTGTCAAAGCGACAGCTGGGTTTCGGGTGGGCTTGCAGGTTCGGGCCGGATCCCGGACGTGGGGCTCATGTCTGGGCGCAGAGGCCTGGTTGGGACGGGCTCAGTGAGACAGCGGCGCTCTGCGTTCGGAGACGTCGCAAGGAGAATTGCTGCGTAGAACAAGCGCTTACCTCGGTATGATGGAGTCTGTGGCCGGGAGCGGAAAGCCGGCCTGCATCGAGGCACTGGAGAACACAACACAGAACAAGAAGCAAGGAAGCAAAGGCGACCCAAATATGTTCCACAAGACTTCGCAGTTAAAGCCGAGGACGGGTGCGGTTGAACACAGTGTCAAGGAATTCAAAGTGGGGTAATGCATGAACCTGGGCTGAGGCAGCGCATGCTGGTTCGGTGCCGTGGTCCAGTGAACTATGCAAACACTGCCAGTCAAAAACACAATGCAAACATCACCAAACAACCAGCAGCCCTCTTCCCCACGTCCGCTACATCTCCCATGTTGCACTCTCCCCTGTTTTCGTTGCATCATAAACTAGACTACCAAAAGAGGCGCCCCCCTTGCTTTGAGGCAAGTTAGCAAAGGCGATGTCCTGCTTTCTTGAGAAGAAGTTGTTTCCCGATTCACCAAAACACAAGCATTGCACCAACTTCAAGACATCCAAACTGGCGATCACCGCTACTCACTTCCTGAGTGGATTTTGCCAAACACAGGTGCTCCAACTTGGCATTCCCTCCAAAATGGCCACTAAACTTTCAAAAAGTGTCGATGCAGGCCATGAATCATCTCAAGAAGTGAGGCCATGGATGCGCCTTTTTCCAGGTCCTCCAGTAGAGAGCTTAGAATCCAGGTACCAACTTTTTCCTGTAGTCAAAATTTGAATATGAAAACCCTCCCTCCCAAAAAGGGAAGTGGGCAAAAGCGCAGCACTGGGCGACCGAGTTTTTTCCTCCAGGTGCATGGGGGCGTGGTTGGCCAGCACCCCCAACTGCCCACTGGCGCTGGGCAGAATCACCTCGGAGCAGGCCACCGAGATGCCGTCCCCCTCCGGCGACCGCACCTGGCCGATGGAGCTATACCCCAAGCAAATCCGCTGGAGCTTCCTTAGACGAAAAGAAACCTACTCCAAACACCTGCCTTAAACCAAATGCCCTGCTTTGGTAGAGGATTGATTGAGAAAAAACAATACCTCTTGCCTGTTTTTTCGTAGAGGGTTCACATGATACCCTAAAACAAGCGGGTAATTGGAGTAGGGGGGTTGGCTTTTGTTCTGAGACGCGCTGAATTTTGCAGTGAGATGGACACATTTGCTTGTTGGCAGATTTGAAGATAGGGAAGGGCTGTGCCGCTGGGAGATGGTTGGAGTTTGGTGTGTTTCCCCATCGCTCTTTCTTGTATGTCCCAAAATCAGCCACAAGCAAACTGCAAATGAAGAGCACGTCATCAGGCGCCCACTCGGCTTCTTTGCAAAAACAATCGCTGATCGTTTTTGTTTTGGCCGCTCCAGCGAGTTCGGCGTCCTGACGCAAGCGTCCCAGTGCGTAGAGTCAAAATCCGGTGCTGATGCCTTTGGAATGTGCGCCCACAGGGTGGCTTAGAGGTTCATCCTGCCTTGCGCCATTAGTATATTATGTATATTTCTGGCAAAGCATTGATATGTTGCCTGTTTAGAACCCCTCAATGCGTGGTCAGTGGTCATCTAAGGTCCCTCCCTTCCACAACCCCAAGCACTTACGACGTGCTTCACGGACTGGTTTTATGCTCCTCCAGCCCCAAGGTGCACGGACCGCAAACCGAGAGCGATAGCCTCGAAGGGTACACCCGCGCCCCGCGCCTTCAACTGGATGCGATCCCCGGCTGCCGCGACATATTCTGGCTCTTCGCTCTCCTCCTGAAAGCGACCCCCGGACTGCCAGGAAAATCTTGCCACCCAACCCGCAGTGCACTCAAGCTGGGGTCGCCACCCACATTCCAACAATTTAACAGCAGGTCGCTCGCCAGGCTTCCCATGTCACATTGGTTTCCGGCTCCACGGTCACATTGCATCTTTGTGCATCGCGAATTCATCACAACAGCTGACACGTCCACTTCCAACAAGTCACGTCCTGGACGCCTCGTTTGCCCGAAGGCTACGCCACCGCCCGCGCTTCTGTCCTCCTCCGCACGCCGCGCCACCTTTGACGGTTGCGGGCGGGGGGTCGTGCCCACGAAGGTCAGGGCATAGCGGCAAAGCGCCAAAGCCTCAGTAGCCCCGCGGTAAGGCTGAGGGCCAAGGAAAGTGACCTCAACCATGTACACCTCAACTAGTGCAACTAACATCCAAAGCCCAAATGAGTATGCTATACCGAGCGGATTGTCAAGAATGACATTCAGGCTCAATAACAACCTTGGCGTTTTGCCAATGCCTTCAGAGAAAATCAAAAAAAAACAGCGGCCGCTTACCTTGGAAGAGTTCCTAAAGCCAGGGTTCGTCGTTCGGCCTTTGGCAAGTGATCCACATTTCAACGGCACACATCATCACCCATCGGCATTTCTCACAAATGCGGACCCAGCCATGTCCCACCATGGCCCTTCTGCTGCATTGCTACCGATTGCGGTGTGGTCTCTCCAAGCAGTGTCTCTTCCAACAAGTCTAAGTGGTCAGCAAGGCATGCTCACCATCCCCAACGCAAGCTTAAAAAGAGCAACTCCTCACTAACTGGTTTCCCGTCCCCAGCCGCTCCCATGCAGCATCACTCTTTCCCGCAAAAAAAACCTCAACACTCTGCACCAATTCGTAAGAATTAGGACAAAACCAATGTACAATAAATTTATTTTGGTGCGAGACTGAAGGGCCCCACTGCGAAGGGCCCACCATGGTGATTCCCAAGTGTCTATGGGTTGCTGAACCACGTCCCCAGGAACAGAACCTTCATAACAGGTGCGGCCGTGTTATTCCCAAATCCTTCCAAGCAGCACCTACCAGCAGCACAAGCGTTGAGCGTGCCATGGCTATGAGAGTGAGTAAGTGAAGCGCAGGAAGAACGGCAAAGGGCGGACAGCGCTGAGCCGCAAAGAGTCCGGCAGTTTTCAGTGTACCTCGAATTGGCGGGTTTGAATGGCATGTCACCGCGGACAAGCTGGGCAATGAGGCCAAGCTTCAAAGTACATGCCACGTTTTTCGCCTGCCGAGCGACGAAGCATGGGCACGCAGGTGAAGCAAAGGCAATCAACTCCGACCCCTATATAAAACAAGCAATGAAGCCCCCATAAAAAGATACCTTACTCGCAGGGTCAAATCAAAGAGACCTTCATGCAAAACAACCCGGCCTTGAACGACCATGGGTTCGAACAGACTCGACAGGTCATCGTCATATTGTGTTCGTAACATTCTCCTTTGCTGATTTGTACCACCCCTCAAAGCGTGGAAACAGAATCGGAATGTACACCCCTCAACATGCAGAATTGCCGCTTTGCCAGTCAGGTGGGAAAAACGGGGCCACCAGCATGAAGGCCAACAATTCGCTTCTCTCCCATCCTGGCCTGCTCGAGCCCTGAGCGTTGCAGCCAGTTCCGGTCATCAGTGCTCCTCAAACGCCACAGGCTTGCCCATGAGGGTTGCCACCCAAAGCCCCAAGCAAGATCGGACTTGAGTGGGTGTCCATGTAAAATGTAGGCTTTGAACGCCCGCCGATCTCAACCCCTTCTTTGCAAGCTTCGGCAAGAGTCGCAGCACGTCTTGCCGCTCGCTACGTGATCGCAGCAATCCATGCATGATGCCCGTTCCAAGCAGGATCTCCCCAAAGCTTGACGCAATTCTTGTTCTTGGACTTGTACTGCTACAAACGCCGCCGCTAAAAGACCAAACTTTCCAGCCAATCGATGCCAACCGTAGATTGCTTGTAGGTTCTATGCGGGGCCTTTGTTTGTTGCATCACAAGCAAGAAGCCAGCAACGAGCAATGAAGACAGGAACCAACGTCCATTGCCATGGGGCGGGTTGCTTGAGCAATTTTAGCGCCATGCAATATGATGCATTAGTCTCATCGTGGTTGGCCACATGCCGGGTCACTGTTACAAACCACAAGAATCGAACGTAACATATCTTCCTTCTCTATGTGCGGTGTCAACCGCTCTTTGATCAAATCAAGGCTCAGAAAGCTTCCAACGCCATACCAGCCGCAAGCGATCAGGTGGTTGATGACAAGCATCATCCTCGCAGCCGTTCTGTTTGGGCTTAGCTGATTCCGAAACAAAAATGCTGCACTTTTGACATGCAATGAAGGGATAGTTTTCTGGGCAGGCATACATCACCGCCGAGTGCAGCAACAAAGCCAGCCAACACTGCTCTTCCTCAAATGACTGTATGGAGGCAACACCTAGCTCTTTCAAGTCGACGCAAGCATCAGTTCCTCTCACAAAGATGGGGGGCACAACCAGGGGCTTTAAAAACGGTGTAGTGCAGAGGGGGGCACAAAGCAAACACGCATAGTTTTGTGGCCTGGACCAAAGTCAAGACTGGCTGCTGGGCTGGCCAGCACCTTGCAAATGTCTGGTCATGCGAGGACCGTCAAGACCATCACACATGCGATGCATCGCTGGCAAACTCTATTGATTGGAATGTCTTGGGCATCAGCACGGCTTCGCATACAGCTTCGCATACGGAATCCTGGAACGCTTGAAAGATAAATCCTCCCAATAGGGTAACATTTCACTTGCCGCGCCAAACTCGGACTGCAGCTTGAGATGCACAATCGCCGACACGAGCTTCAGCAGCATGAAGACGTAGGTCGACAAGAATCCTCAAAGGAGACACCAAGGTTTGCGTCCCCGACGCATACCTCTTTCCGAAACATACCCCGATCATCATCCGCCGTTATTTTGGTCGAAATACACCTCGAAACACTCCTGCGAAACATATCCCAAGACCAACACAAATTGATTGATGCACTATGTTGGGACACCGACCACCCACATACAGAAGTCCATTTGCCACCGATGGAACTCGGCAAGATGGTGCTATGCCAAAATGCTGCTCGTTAGTCCACAAAGATCAGTCAACTTATTCAAACATGTACCCTCCTACCAATAGCGGGTTCCTGGAAGCAGCTTCCTGGAAGACAACTTTCCTTTTAAAGGGACCGGGTCCCTGATGGTCCCTCAGTTTCCATGCTAATTGGCTTAACAAAAATAAGATGGTCCCTGTCAGTTTCCATGCTAAGCGGTTTAAACATATAAGTGGCGCGAAGTACAAACACTTGCCGAGCTGCTGGTGGCCAGAAGTGACATCTCGCGCTGCATCTTCGCCACCCGAACCAGGCGCAGTAGGCGCAAGAGGCGCAGGGACCGCACCAGGCGCGCGGAGCGCAAGGCAGAAGGGTCCTCAGTTGGGTGAAGTCCATTGAATTGGCCATGCAATCTATGGAACATATGGCCATGGGTCAAAATCAAAATCGTAGCCCCAGTGAACATCCCAATCCCCACTAAAATAGGTTCTAAAATGGGTGGTGCACCTACCATTAGTTTTGACCCACAGCCATATACCAACAGACCTGACCCATTTGGAGGATAAATGTGAGTAAATCGTGCATGCATTGTTTAGGCATTGGCCACGCAGAACCGCTTCTTAGGGGGGGTTCTGAGCAAACACGTGGAAACACGAGTCTCTCATTGCTCAGGGTGACTACTGTGTTTTGGCGGTATTGGCCAAAAGGCCGTACCTGGGTTACCTATTGGAAGCTCCCTTCAGGTCACACGTCCACTTACCACGTATGGGTTAATCAAATAAGACTTTGACGGTTGCACCGTAGAGATTGCTAACCTTGATGGCATCCATTGAGAAAGCCATATATTCTATGGCCACTAACTTGCCTTTGTTCAGGGATTCACTGAACAACTTCAAATGCATGCAAATGTGTTTCTCGTCACAGGCAAGGTCGGAAGGCCCTTCAAATTTCAAGCATTTTGTGCTCAGCGTGAGGGGGTTCAAGGGTTCCGCTGGCCTGCGGCACAAATCCTAAGCTCCCCCGCCAGTCTGGCATTTCCTCGCCGTCTCAAAGTCGCCGGAATTGTCAGGTTTGGGGAGGCACTATTTGGTCGTCAATGAGAGTGGCTATTGCATAATTGATATCCGGCCAAAATGGTCCGTTCTGTCAAACAAAAAATGGCTTTGCGTGAAGCAAGTGATTTTTTCATTTTCCCGGCACTGCTCGAAATGAGGACCAAGTGTCCGCCGCGCTGACGGCATGCAACACCATGACCGTTGCATCCAAGGACACGATCACCAAATCGACAGCAAGCCTTTGCGCATGGCGCGGGCAATCTCCGGTACTCCTTACGAAAACTCAGGCCCACCTGTGGCAAGTGGAAAGCTAGCTGTGACCCTTCCAGTTCTGAGCCGCTCGTCAGGCCAAGTTGTCAAAATTGCACTCCGTTGTAAGACGTACTTGCCAGCTCAACAGACACAGCTGCAAATGCTCGCTAAGGACATCTTACGATCCACAGTGAAACTGGCATACATCGTCTATTTCGCATGTTGCCAACTCCAGATCAGTTTCGGGGGCTTGGGCCTTGCCGTGTTCGATCTGCACCAGAATCTCAGAAGCTCCCAACATGCAACGAACTGCGCGAAGCGCCGCATACACATCGCCCTTCGACTTTTTGGCTGAGGCGCCAGGAGCGGAGGTACAAAAGGCCCAGGACCCATGGTCTCAACTCCAGGCTGCCGCCCACCTGCACTCCGAAGCAGAGGTGCAGCGGCATGTCGATCAGCCAAAAGAAGAAGCCCACCTGGCAAGCTCTGGAGCTCACTGGGGCGCCGGAGCGAAAAAAAGACGTTCACATCCCCCGCGGTTCGAGAGGGAGCTACCCTCCGGACCCAAGCAAAAAATGATTGAACATTTTGTTTAAAGCAAAACCCAGGAGGCCAAACCTTCACAGCGTCGTGTGGACGGCACTTCTTGCCACTTGGAAACAGCTCTGCGTGGTCTATCTGCCCGGCCCGGAACCAAGGGCAAGCACCGAGAAAACAAGGCAAGCTACGAAAGACATTTGGAACCCATGCCCGGGCGGCTACGCCCATTACATCCAGGACATGTGTGAAGTTGCCCACGTCGAACATCTCCAAAGGCCTTGGGACTTAACGTGCAGTTCCTCGCCGTGCAATGTGACATGACACTTCCAGAGATCGCGCATCTGCCATCAGCCCAGCAAAATGATGCAGTGAGCTGGCTTCCAGCTGTAAAAGGTAATGTGGAAGACAACCTCTAAAGTGCCGCTCCCTGCTGCAAGCATCAAGCTTCAACGCTGAGCGCAAATTGCGTCATGCAGCTCGTTACTGGAGGAAACTACACTCAGCAATGTGCACTTGCATGCCAAGCACTGAGTCAAGAAAAACCTGGGGCCACGGGCCAAGGAACTCCTTTTCTGGGTGCCACTAGCGCAGCTTAGCAGCAGGGTGATCAGATCCCAAAGGATCAATGTACACGCCAGCAATGACCTCACGATTGAAGTCAAGAGAAAAGCACTACCCTCCCCCCACGAACATGGCGGCTGGCAGCCGGTCCCTTCAAAAGGAAATTGATCTTCTAGGTACTCTCCCACAGGTGCTGTGTTTGTGGGAGGAAGGGTGATCAACCCGAAAAGACGACCATCGTGACATACAGAGAGCCTCAGTATGTGTACCACGGCAAAAAATATCTTTTCAGGATACCTTTGAATTTGCGGGTGCAGAACATGCGGAACGCCATGCGCATGCTCGCATGAGTCGAAGGCAAAGGACAAACTGGACTACGAACCCGTCAAGTCCCAAACATCATGTTGCAACCCGTCTCGGGGTTGGTTGAAAGGATCTCCCGGTCAAAATACGTGGCGACTGCTCCCAAACCACTGGGCACAACATGAAAAACATCCTAGGGGATCCCACAACATGCGTGGGCCCTCCAATTGCACGTCACAGCGCACCCCACCTCAGTAGATACCCAAATGTGCCACATACTGCCACATTTGTATACATTTGTGCAGTCGAGAAGCCAAGCCAGCTGTATGTTGCTCTGCGGTCCGGCCACAAAGCGCTGAAACCAGGTGGACGGGGCTAAGGCGTCGTTGATTCGTTGCGTTGAGATCGACTCGCTCAGGGATAAGGTCAAGCGGGTCTGTCGGGTGGTGTTGGCCGCCGGCAAGCCGGTCTCCGATGAGTGCAACCAGACGGTCTCCGTGAATGAGTGCGACCAGACCGGGCGCATGTGCAACTCCACGGCCTGTCCTGGAACCACCAGCTTTGGGAGCTCCCGCGGATCGGAGCCAAGCCTTGGATTCACATCCCCGGATCTCCCCGATTGGCCTAGGGGCGCAGGGGTTGGCTTTGGTCAAGCTCTGAGCTATCAATGAGAACATGAAAGCAAGTGCCCAAGCCAGGAAAGCGGCATCAACATATTTAAGGCAAACTCAACCCAACGCATCTGCTTTTCACCTGGGCCCTCAGCTTAGATGACCCTCGACCATCAAGGCTTAAGGTGCATTTGCCATTTGCTGGGGCTCCGAATTCCGCGCACCGCGCATATGTTATCAAGCAGCAGTCTCAGGGCCATCATGGCCCAACGGCCGGCAGAGGAGCTGTTCGTGTCGTAAACTCGCATGAGGCATCTGCCCTCTTCAGCATCCACATCCACACTGACCAGTTCCTTGTCCCCGTTTTCAGCTTCGCCTTGGTGCGTGGAGTAACCCGGATTGGGGCAAAGCGTGCTTTCACGCCATTGAGCAGGTGCCCCAGGAAATGGCCTTGCCGAACCTGTCAGCTAAACAAGCCTGCAATGCAACAAAATGCATGAGGATTCAAGGGCTGAAACCTTACCAAAGTCAGGGGATGTCAAGACACAAGCTCAAGCTTGTGACAAGCGCGGTTCCTTCGGAATTTTGACCGTCAAAGTCTTGGAAAGACACTCAAACAATTCGGGAAGCCACTACAAAGGAAAAAAAGGCTGCTTGCGTAAGGCAAGGACTAAACAGCGCAAAAGGATGGACGAATTCCGCAGTGAATGCCAACAAACCCATGGTTTCAACCATGGTTACCATTTTCGCCCCCATCCGCAGCTATGAGCTCAGCGGCTGTCAGCTTTCGCCACGGATTGCTTCGCCAAGGTCTGGATCTCCTGATGGTGGTAGCGCAGCAGGGCCTGCTCCAGGGCGCTCAGCTGACCGCGGAGGGCCTGCGCCCACAGCCCCGATGCGCCGATGCAATGCCAACTATGTGCCAAAACGGCTCCCCAACATTCGGCGCATCTTACAATATGGCATAATTGATAGCGAGCTCACCTAAAAAGAGCTCAGTATGTTAAAGATGCTATACTCAGGGATCCCTGATTTCAAGCTTTAATCATATTATGGCTGCGGGTCAAATGCTACCATTTGGGGGTAGGTGAATTCACCACCCATTTTAGAACCTATCTTAGTGGGGATTATGTTCACTGGGGGCCAACCGATTTGGACTTTGAAAAGCCCATGGCAGAAATTGGAGGGTGTCCCTTGCAAAAAGGGTGCCATGCCTATATCTACCTGACCCATGCTTAACGTAACATCCAAGCCGAATTTGGGCCCAACTTTGCTACACAAACAAATTCGGCCCTTGGCATCTCCAGCATCTTACCATCTTCCTTGAGTCTTTCAAAAGGGAACGGGATGCTTCAGGCATTCAAGCATATAATGTGTGGCCACATTTGGGTCTTTCCCCGGATTGAACTGAACGGAACAGAACGCCGATTGGAGAATCTCCGCTTGTGCGAAGCCCTGGCCGAGAGGCTTCTTTGAAGCCATCGGCTGCTTCCTGCGGTGCGCTGGGCAAATGTGCGCGGCAAAAATGAACAGAAGAAAGCAACCTGGCGCTGCAACATCTGACGCAACCTTGTTTGACAAAGCATCCGCAGGACACGCCAGAACACGGACCTAGAAAAACTGAGCCATTTGGCGGTCAGCTTTGAGAGGCAAACCAACAAACACGCCAACCAGTCCTTGTCCATGCTTTCCCGGGCAGGCACGGTGCAGCTCACGACATATAAGCTGAAAGTCCTTCAGAACCATGCCTCTGCTTGCTTGACATTGTTTCAATTGGCCGCACAGCTAGCTGGCAGTTCATGATCCAGTGGGTGCAAATTCTTGCTATCAACTCGAAAGAAACATGGCAAGGGAACTTGCTTCAGGCAGCCTCGAAGTGGTGGCTTGGATTGGTGGTTTGGGGATTTTAACCCTGCCTTATGTAGAGGGGAACTGGGACACCCCGCCTTAACCACCAAACCACCAATCCAAACCGCCAATTGGAGTGCAGCTGGTTCTTCTTATGAGCACGCTGGGCCATTGATAGGTCAGCGAGCGGCTCCTCCTCTTGGAAAAGCAGAATGCCCCTGCTTTATTCGACGCTTGCGCTTGCCCAATTTTTCCCTACCCCCCCTTTTCCACGGGAGGGTGACCCCCCCATCTGTTTCAAAAATAACACTCCTGGAAGCCGGTTTTAGGGGTGAAGGACGGGGTGCTTTCTGAAAATGTAGGGAGGTCACCGTGAATGCGTTTGGAATAATTCAGGCATGGGCATCTGTTCGAAGTCTATGGCTTGAGCTTGATTTATAACTGGCTTCAAGGGGGCCCCTAGCATGACTGCGGTTGGAACTGGTGGGACATGTCCCTAGTTTAGAATTGGTTTAGTATTGGCCAAGTCTAAGTCCTGAAAAAACAACTTTTGTTATTAAGGGGATCTTCCTATCAGAGGGTGAGGATTATTTGCTCCAGCACTGTACGTGCCAATGCCAGCCCTCCCCTTTCCACTATGAAAGCGGCACGACCGCCAGACATACTTTGGATATCCCACCAACGCATGGCATGGCAAAAGTCGTAGACCAGGCTGAGTCAGCCAAAGTACTAAAACATGCAATGGTTCCAACCACACAGGTAGAACACGCCCTTCAAACTGGAGTATCGAGATTCTAGGCCTGGCTGTCCAATGCAGTAATTAAGCCTCAGATCTAGGCTCGTGCGCATGAACTGGTACAAGCCCCACTTCAGTGTCGCTCGCAAAGCCTCGTCTTTGCACGCAAGGGTAAGAGGCAGAGATGAAATCGCAGAAGCGGACGAATTAACTCACATCCTGAGCAGATTGGCCAAAGAATGCCAAAGAATGTCTAAGCTGTTTTGTTTACCATTAAAATGATCTTCCCAACAAGCATTGAGTCCAGGAACTCAGGGAGTGACTTATACACGAGCCCGCGGCGAGGTTGCAAAAACAAACTCATTGTCTTGCTGTTCGAGTTACTGTTCTGGGGGGTATCGTTTGCTTGTTTCTATCCCTTATCGCTTGCAGTGATTTGTGCTTTCTGCACCTCGAAATCGCAACCTTTTAGTACGAGTATAGCACACGAAGTACACTTCGGCAGCACAAGATAATTTATGTGCAAATCGATATCATTGTTGTAAACGTTTTGTTATCGTTGTTGGTCAGCTATCAAGTCTACAATCTGTTTTTCCAATCTGACACACGAGTCTTTTGTTTACTTCTTCTGATTTTGCAGTGAGATGTGCCAGTTTTGGAGACCAAAACTAAATTCAAAATGGTGTTTTTACAACCTCAGTTGGGCCCGTGTACCGCGCTCCTGTTCACGGGCGCAAGCAGTCTGACTTCTCAGGACTCCTTGCGCCCATACTCCTAGCCTCTCCATTTGGTGCGCCCGCAAAACTTTAGAGCTGCACAAGCGGTCGCCCGGAGGACACCTCGAGCGGTTCTTCGAAAGCTCGCCTGCTTGCACAGGGTGGGGCAGCTCCGAAGCACTGAGAACAGCGCATGCTAAAGAATTCAGGTCAGGCTTTGTGAGCTGCCAGCCAGTCAAGTGCTGTGAAACAGCCGCCTTTGCTTTGCTTCCGCGAACTCTGGGCCGCAAAGCTTCGGGCGGCATGAGCCCGGGATCTTCCCCAGTGACTCATGCCGGGACCTGAGTTTTGCCCCGGGCCCCGGCGGAAAATCTCTTCATACGGAGGCTGTGAATGGCCGAGACTCACTTAAAGCCATTGGTGGCTTGTCTGGCTCTCGGTCGCCTAGCGGGCCGCCCTCAAACCCCTTAAAGACTTGAGCCTGAAAGCTCTTCATGAGACGGGGTCTTGTACAAAACACTTGCTTGACATTGGTCATTTTGGTCATTGCTCACTCACCCCCTAGATGAAAAGTGATCGCGAACCCTGCTGCCAACCCTGCTGGCCCCTGCGCAGCGTGAAGCAGACATTTCATTTCCTCATATTATGTGCCACTTTTTCAGCCCAGTGCGAGTCTACCCACCTGCCTGGGAGATAATACGCATGAACTGTGCGGCAGCCTTGGCTCGCGTAAGTCCCAAGTCCCGAAGAAACTTCCTCACTACAACATCCACGTCAGCCGGACGAAAGGCCCTCCCCACCAAACGTATGAACAAACCATGCCCGCCGGACAGAAGAACCGAGGCACCATGTGATTCTGTTGATCGAATTGACCGTATGGCCCGGATTTGGAGGATAGGATCGTTTCGAAGCGCGCCGCCCGGCCCGCCAGCTCCTGCGCCGCATGCGACGAGGTTCGGCCCTTCAACATGGCAGTGTCAATCCAGAGAGAGGGAGGAAGGAAAGAAGGAAGGGAGGGAGAGAGAGAGAGAGAGAGAGAGAGACAGAGCGAGATATAACGATATGATTAATATGTCAATGTAGATAGATTCACACAGAGAAGAGAAAGAGAGAGAGAGAGAGAGAGAGAGAGATGGTCTGAAGTTCCTTTTGGTTCCTCAACCGCGAAGCCCAGTCCGCAGCTTGTCCAAACATGTCAGTCGTGCGAGAATCCGGCGAATCCGCCATTGAGTGTGCGAGCCGTCATGGACACTCCTTTGGCTCAACTAATGTCAACTCATTCAACAGCATTCAAACCGGGCCTTCAAACAAAAGTCTAGGCATTTATCTGTTTACCAGCAGGACCCATCAGCACATTGCTGAACGTGTTGCAGCAGTGCAAAGGCTCCTTCAGCTGTTCTGGTGGGAGACAAAGGTCCGTCAAGACTTCGCCACCTTCGATGGTCTCATAAGCGCCTACCAGCAGAATTCCGAAGACCTGCAAATAGCGGTACCTTGGGAGCATCTAAGTGCAGCTGCATCAGATGCGTCCTATGGTTGCCCCTCTGCAAGCTGCGAGTCCTCTAGCCACAATCAAAGAACCTCCCAAGGCAGTGGCCTCTGGCAAACCTGAATTGCATTGCCCGGACCTGGGACCTGGGCCTAGCCCAAGGGAGCCAAGATCACCCTTTGCAGACCAAGCATCAAACTGAGCCGAACTTGGCAACATGCTGAACTCTAAAGAACAAATTGCACACAAAATTGTCACGCTGCCAAGTGAAACTCAGTGCGGGACAATCACACTTTGAGGCCACCTAACTTCGCAGCAAGCCACAGAGGCTTTCCAGAGCGCATGGCAAGATTGCAAAAGTCGTTCGCATTGATGCCGAAGTAATAACCTACGGCGACCAGCTGAGCAACATGCCCCCACCTTGATGGTGGGGAGGTGGGGGGGCTCCCTCTAATTCCCTTTTCCAGTCTTCCCCACAAAAGGACATATATCAACCAAATTCCAGAAAATCTCCCCATTCCCCCACTTCCATGAATGGCAGCGAACAACCAAAGCTTTTAAGCAATGTCCACAAGGCCAGCAGTTGAGACATGTAATCTCCGTTATCCATCCGCAGAGGTTCTATCACGCTAAAACCTAGGCCATCTTACGGCCCCTCCAACCACTTGAGCACATCAGGAACGAACCAACTGCTTTTCTGGGTTGGCTCTTCTGCCGCCAGTCTTCCAGACACTCAGTGGCCCACAGGACCCAGAAATACCATGCCTGGACATTATTTTTCCTGGGCGGTTCATTTTGAGCGATTTAGGAGTTTTGTTTGGATTTGTGTTTTTCTGCGGTTTTTGCGGGTGTTGTGCGTTTTTTTGCAGGCATGTGCGGGTGTTTTTCCTTGCTTAGGCGTTTGCGGGAATTTGCGGGCGCTTGCGCTGCAAAATGAGGACAGGAACTTCAAGAGAAAATGCCCGTTGGAATGTCCAGGTGTTGATCTTCAGTTTAGAGAAGGCTTTGAGGTTGACTGGCGCTGCCACGGGTGTTTCTGCACCCTCCGCGGCCAAGCTTTCGGCACGGATACCGGACAACGTCAAGTCAAAGCGGTTGACCTTTCACAGAGTTCCCAGGAAAACAGCCAAGGCACAGGTTCCACCAGCGTGCATCGCTGTCAGCCGCCCGACATGCTGCCATTCGGCCCAGAAACACGGCAAGCACAGGATATCGCCGCTCCTGGCAATGCACCGGGATTTCTGAAGCGTTCCTGAAGCGCTTCATAATATTAGAGGCCTGTCAGGGGGCAAACTCATTCAGCCTTTTGCGGGTGCTCGTTGTGGGTGTCCAAGCGCATGCTCGCCAACGACGCCGCGTTGGACACAAGAGATGCTTGTTCCACACCTTTTTCGAGGGCAAAACTGCGCAGATGCATATAAACAATGATGGTTGCTTCTTCTGGGCCACTGCCCAACATCCTCAGCATCGTTCTTGCATCCCCAGCAGTCCCTGCTTGTTTCTTGTGGGAATCTTTTCCAGATTTCCGTGGATTCTTCAAATGTAAACCTACAGGCATCTCCACCAAACAGAGGCAAGACAGGGACAGCAGGAGCACACAGTGCATTTGTTGCATCCTCAGAACCGCCAGCTTGGGAAAACAGAATGCACAAAGGCAACCAAAGGTCCCTTGCCAAAAGAAAAAAAGGAAACAGCAGAAACGCAAGACATCACCAGAACAGAGATTGATCGCATTGATAGCAACCAACACCATCACTTCTGGGGCCTGTCCCAAGATAAAACAAACGAACTTCAAAAGTGCAAGTGCCTGAGGCCAGGCCCAAGCCCTCTCGAAGCCAGGCAAACACACGAGAAACACGCCAGGTTCCGTCGAATTCCCCCTAGAAATTAATCCCCCTCCAAAAACCAATCCAACTCCGGTCAAGCCCCCAGAGCCCTCTAAAAACCAGTCCCTAGAAACCGGCCAACTGTCTCTTGAACTTGATTCCTTACAGACTCTGTCAGGCTTCGCTTGCCCACTGCCCTTCTGTGCATCTTGGAAACCAGCTCGGACATTTCGGCGCCGACTCACTCACTCAAGCAAACACAACACTCAAGTCCTGCTGCGGCAACCCTTCCAAAAGGAAGAGCCCAAAAAAAGAAAAACCCAAGAAGCATCAGCAAAGACATCCCCAAAAACACTCCTCTGAGTACAACCCCTCCAAGGCATCCCCAAAAGTATTCCCCGAAGCAACCTTCCAAGACACCCTCGGGAGACATCCCCACCCCCAAAGACATCGCCCAAGACACTCGCAACAACATCCCCCAAGCCAGCCCCCTGAACACATCCCTGAAAGACATCCCAGCATATTGACCGAACAATCGCAGAGACACCCCGAAGACATGCCCGGAGAAATCCCCCAAATCATCCCCGAAGACATTGTCCCAAGACAAGGGCACCTGCAAAGAAGTCCCAAAGACATCCCCCAAAGCCAAAGACATCTCCGAAGACATCCCCGAGGAACGAACCCTTAGCCCAGAAGCCATCCCCAAAGCATCACCCAAGACAGTCGTAAAGGATCCGCCAAAAAACAAAAAGCAATCGCAAAGACACCCCAAAACAACCCCAGAAACACCCCTATTCACATCATCCCCCAAAAGACATCCCTCCAAGACCCTCGGAGGACATCCCCAGGGCAGCCTCAAGACACCTTGCAGGACATCTCCAAAAGACCGCCTCGAAGCTATTGCCAGAGACATCACCCAGCAGGACAGCACTAGATTGCATCAGCAGCCCCCCAATCCAAAGAGGACTTTGCAAACAACACACATCACCAGCGCGTTACTTAAGCCTCCGTGAGAGCCTCCGTGAGAGCCTCCGTGAGAGAGCAAACAAAAGGAAAATCACAAGAAGGCTCAGCAACACAGAACCTGATTACACCATTACCACCCACCATCGCTTCTAGGGACCTTTCAATACAAGAGGAACATCACAAACAAACAACCAAACAAACAAACAAGCACGCAAGCAAGCAAGCAAGCCAGCTAGCCAGCTAGCTAGGCAACAAGAACACACATCCCTAGCTCTTCCCAGACACATGGAGCACATTAAAGACCCCTACTCAAGTCCTTTGAGGACCTCTCCGACGGAACGAAACAAACAAAAACAAGAAAAATCACCGGGACAGAGGTTGATCGCATTGGTAGCACCCCCGTCCATCACGCGCACACACACACACACACACACACACTCACACACACACACACACACACACACACACACACACACACACACACACACACACACACACACACACACACACACACACACACACACACACACACACACACACGCAGCTTCTTAACTATTTCCATTGATACACGCGCTGCGCGTGAAATACACGTGGGAAAACGATTTAACCCCACACCCATCACTGCTCATTGCTATTGCCGTCCTACGAGGTCACACACAAAGGCCCCTTCGCAAATCGAGATTCGCCACTGCGCACTGTACCTGTAAAACACATGTAAGAAAGCAGGTCTGTCTTCTCGACGATCGCACCCGGAGGCGTTAAAGTATAAGCCCCGCGCTCAGAAGGGGATGCTGGTGCAAAGCCAAGTCTCGAGACAGAGTCTGGTGGCTGGTTGGCAGCAGCAGCAGTGTACGACATCTGGCCTGCGAGACGGTCAGAAAAATTATGTTCGCATGTCTATGGCTCCCAGTTCTCCGCATTTACTCAGTTTGAAAGAGAGGCTGAAAAACAAACTGATGGCAAAGACCAACGATGTCACCAACAGCCCAACCTTGAAACGACTGCGGAAAGGGCTTCGTCCCTTTCCAGCGCAACCTCAACAAAAATTACCCCGTTACCCTGCGACAGGCGGGTTCCGCCTGACTGGATGACATAGACTTCATTGCAAGGGGTCGCCGGCATGAATGCATCCTGCCCACGCTTCGCCACGTGCTCCACCACAGCGTGATGACAAAGTTGTCGGTAAAAAAAAGCGTCCTCCGCTGCATTGTTGGCAAACGGGCGGACAAATGCATACTTGTTCGATTGGCCCCCGGTAACAACAGGAGTCCATACGGACCACCCTTGGCTTTAAATCTTTAGATGCCTCTCTGGCTTGCCCGGCATCTCTGAACAGGTTGATCTTTGCCATACCTACGAATGAAAATGGTGCCGACCAATGCCACAATGCCTGCCACAACGCCTGCCAAACGCCTGCCAAAGCGACCGCCCACCCCTGCCGCGCTTATAAGTCCAAACTCCTCCCAGCTAACTCCAAGCCAACTCCAGGATGCCCCAAACATTCCTGCTAGCTACTTACCCGAGGAAGTTTCTATGGCATGAACATTCACCTTGATCTACAGGGGCCACCCTGTATCGCCGTGCGGTCAAAGCCCTGATTCGCCAGTTCCCCCCTGTAAGGAGATTTGCGCGTGGCCCACGCGCAGGGCACAGTCCTCCATGTAGTTCCACTCTGGCCAAAAGCCCAGGGCAAGAATGGGCGACAGGTAAATCTCCTGGCCCAGCCGCCCCGCAGAGTCGCAGCGACAACAAACCGTTCGCTATCTAAACTGGGCAAATGAGACTAAAACTGGAGACCTGACTTGCCGCTTGCACTTCCCTAACCGGTTGAAAAACAAAACAAACAACTGGAGACACCCACAAGGACGCACATCGCAAACCCAGCCACTGGAACCGAAGGAAGCCTCTCCTCGTGCAGCTGCATCTTGTAGCGCTCGGGTAGGAGCTGCACCAGGGCTACTTCGCTCTCCTAACGGGAAACGAAGCAGCAGGGGCCCAGGTGCGGGAAACGAGGGGCAAAAGGTAAGTGATTCTGGGCAGAAGCGATGGGATCTATTTTGATTTTGTCTATTTGCAGCGGAACTCTCATTGTCCTGTATCCAACAGACTTGTGGCGCACGTACAGTTGAACAATCCGATGAAGGCTTGAAAAAGATGTATGCATGCGGCTGCGCAGCTTGCTCCATATCCAATCCCTCCCGACTGGCCCTTACCTGCCATGCAACAAAACTAAGCACGCGCCGTGGCAGCGTCTGCCCTGGTAGGACACCTGTTTTTCAGACTGTGAGAGTCCATGTGTCCATGCCTTTCTACTATTGTGTGTTGCGGGAAGTGCGGTGCTTTCTGCCGCTTTCTGCGTGCTAATCCAGTGGCCCTATCTATCTATATATCTATCTATGTCTAGCTCTTGCTGTGCCGTGTGCGCTCACAGGGTCCTAGTTGAACACAAGTAAGGTCACACAAGTCTGAAGCCTTTACGCTAGACCAGCCCAGCCCAAAACCAAAACAAAACAACTAAAACCAAGCAAAGAAAAACACAACAATCCTCAGACATTCTATATATTCAGAAGCAATCTTCACTATGCCCAGAGTTCTGGGAGTTGTTCCTTGCCTTTTACTTGTTTGGGTGTTGACGTTTTATGTTGCCTTGAGTTGTTTTGGGTTGGGATTTTGTTCCTTCGACAGGTTCACAGTTAAATAGGTGAATTATTTGCTCAATGATAATGAATCTAAATGAGCCTTATAAAGCATCGAAGACAATGATGCCATTTATTTCAGGAAGTGCAACTCATCATCATCATCATCGCCATCGCCATCGTCATCGTCATCGTCATCGTCATCGTCACCACCACCATCATCATCATCATCATGATGCAAGTTGATTTCCTGAAAGACTTGCATTGCACATGCACATCAATGCACACTATCCCCGGCCCTCTTTTTTTTTTGCACTGTGACATTTCATGAGGTTCTTTTCTGCCCAGTAATGCTGACCACAATCGAAACCAACAGAACACATGACGGAACCCGCTTGTTGCGGGGGGCAATTGATTGGACGGGCTGCCTGGATAATTCGGGCAAATGTGCGCATGAAACAGCACAAACAAGAGCAAAACAGAAAGCGAAGAAACCAAAACACGAAAACAAAACACAGCAAACCACAAAACAAAACACAAACAAAAGCACAAACCAAAAACACAAAGTGCGCAACAACACAGCGGCTTGCGTCGTGCAAAGCTTGTCTTGTTTTTGTGTATGTTTTGCTGTGGTCGGGCTGGACGAAAGTAGCACACACACGCCGGAAATTCATATTTTCACGGGTGTGGGGGCCGGCGTTGCGGGGGGGGAGGCAGGTACACCAACGTGTGAGGAAAGCATAAAAACCGCAAGCAACATCGGAAAATAAGCCACAAAACCGCACCAACACGCAACACCACACATATCAACAACAAAAGCATGCAAAACGCAAACAATCAACACGATGAAACAAAAGAACGGCAACCCTTTACAGTACTAGTGTTACTGGGCAGGGAGGACCCCAAGATGTTCTCCAATGGCATATCTGTTTCCTTTCTACGCGTCCTTGCAAATAATATGCGCGTGTTATGCTTTGAAGCCAGCCACCCCGACCATCGCCTAAACAGGCGTCTTGCAAGAGCTGCGCAACAATAGGCAAACATCAAGCAAACCTGCGGACTGGCTGAACCCTAGCCGCTAGACTGGTATGGAGAGATTCTTCCAAATGAGTCACAATCTAAACCTACTTGCAATTACAAAGGCCTTGCCAGAATCATGTGAAGAATTAACAGCACGGCCGCACCATTAGGATTATCCCTTCAAACGGGCCTGCCTGGAGTCGCACATCCACCATTCGCTCGCTGCGCAAGACTTCTTGAACCTTCGGCGAGGTAGCGCGGGGATTGGCAATCCGGGGAGGGAAAACAGCTAAACTCTGGGGTTGTCGCACACATCGTCTCTGGGTGGATCAAGCCCCAAATGCCTGCCAAGTTAAGCAGATGTTTCAAGTTGCACACGCTTTTCGCAGGTCTCCTATCCTCCGTGCAACGGCCAGGCCATCAACACCAAACCTCCCGCGTCACATATTTTTCCCAAAGACACACGCCCGGGCCTTCGCATACAAATCCAGGGACAGGTCTCGCTCCACGAAGAACTGCAGTAGGTTAGCCTGTCCTAAGGCAGTACTTGCTCGCAACAAAGCCTGATGTGTTTTCGGTGTTTGACCTGTGCAGACTGATGTAGTCTGCGCACCGAACCCTACGATCAAAAACGAAGCGAGAGTAGATATGGAAAGGGAAAGATAGCGAGCCTAAACTCTGCATTGAAATATGGATATGATTTTTTTAGGGGTCTGTAACGCGCGACGCGGCACGAATCTTGTTACGGAGGTCTGTAACGGAGGTCCTTGTTACGCAGGTCTGTAACGGGAAAAACATTTCCTGACAAGCAGAATCAGGAGCGCATCAACGCAAGCCAAGCTGCAGCAAAAAGCAGGGTCGCTGGCCCGGACTGGGTTTGCGTCTGCAACGAGGTATGTGACGGCTATGTAACCAGGTCTGTAACGAGGCAAAGCAAAGCGCAGTACGCAAAGCGCGCCTCTGCAGCACCAGCTATTCAACGCAAGCCAAGCTGCGGCAAAAAGCAGGGTCGCTGGCCCGGGCTGGGGTTGGGTCTGTAACGAGGTATGTAACGGCTATGTAACGAGGTCTGTAACGAGGCAAAGCAAAGCACAGTACGCAAAGCGCCTCCGCAGCTCCAGCTGATTGCAGCTATTCAACGCAAGCCAGAGGGCAGTCACGTCACTGGCCCAGTTTGTTCATCTGAGGTGTGTAACGAGGGTGTGTAACGAGGGTGTGTAACGAGGGTGTGTAACGAGGGTGTGTAACGAGGGTGTGTAACGAGGGGTGTGTAACGAGGGGTGTGTAACGAGCCAGCTGGTCTTGTTACAGAGGTCTGTAACGAGGTCTGTAACGAATGTCCGCCGCGGCTCTGTTTCAGACCCCTCAAAAAATTCACTGCCATATCTTCATCTGCCGCTTGGGCCACGCAAAACATATTGATAAGAAAAAGCCTTGCAAGTGAACACCATGCAGTGGCAAGGCCTGGCAAAACGACTTGACTTACATTTGATGCGTCCAATCCTGTGCTTGCTTTCCGAATGAGCTCGTTTTAAGCAAAAAGCCCGATTGAACTACGAAAAAAAACATGTCCGCCCCTAGGGACGTCTCCAAATCCGGGGGCCCCTCCGCAAAACACTATTCCCCCGCAACATCAGCGCCGAGCCGGCGAACCCCGGGAATCTGCTCCATTGAAGCTTTGGGCGGAGTGAATTTGGAGCTGATGAAGAAAACGATAAGGGCAACCGGATTAATCAGCCCCAGCTTAGTACTAGGGGGTTGTGTCTGGGTGAAATGTGGGAATTAGACTACTTTTGGAGGGGGCCCCACCCCCCTATGAATAAACTGGCGTTGAACCATGTGGGGTTACTTCCATCGATTACGCCCCTAGGCATGTTTTGTTTTTTTTCCAGTAGTGCTAGATCCCCTTGAAAACCAACAAGGGAAAATATCATTTTTCCTAAAACGCACATGGAAGAAACCGATATCGTCGGGGCCCCAGCTCTGCTTCCAGGGTTCGTTTGACCTTCTCCCCGCGCACCGCGCGGAGGGAGTTCACCGCTGAGCTGATGGAGCCGATGATGGAAGAGAAGACTCCCATGGCCAACAGGATCACGAAAATGGCAAAAAGCCTGGCTGACAAACTGATCTGAAAAGTAAAAATATATATGGAATGTTGGGTATGGTCGAAACTTTTGGTGCGAGATTCAGGCGCTCTCGCAAAGTTGATGGAAAGAGAAATGAAGAGCCACAAGACGTCGCACAAGTCTGATAGCATAGGCTAATCAGTCGGGGTGTCGTGACTGGGTGCCTGGTTTAGGGGCGCAACTTGTGCTGAAAGCAGCTCAGGTCAGTTCGTTCATCGGCACCTTCAGCACTCATCACCTCTCGAAGAAAAAGAGCTGCAGCAGCAGCTGGACAAAGACATGTAAGCAGACATGTTTGAAGTTCCAAGCAAAGGAAAGAAGCAAACAGCGGTGTTTAGCTTCTCTTGCAATCCTGCGCAGGACGTCCACAACTGCGCATTAATGCGCTGAGTGAATGGATGCATGGTACGTGTTCATCTAGGCCAATATACATTAGGCATGCTCCAAACTTATCTGAATCATGTAGCTGATGCTGACTTGAATTCACTGTGCAGTCTCCCTGAAGATGCCGGGTTGCTGGATAGCCAAGCGTGCCAGCAAACAACTCCCCCCCCCACCGACAAGACACGTGCCTCTCCAGGGCATTGTCCGGTGCAATGTTGTTGGTGGCGGGGGTGAACTGGGTCAGCGACCAGTGCAGTGAAGCAGCGTAGGAGTCCAAGAAAGGAGCCTGCGTGAAGCACTTTCCAGGTGAATCATCGCTTGGCTCGTCACTTAGAATCAGAGTGCGTTGGCAGCTTCGAGAACAGTTGGGTTAATGCATTGCATTTTTAGAGGGCAACGCGGTTTGGGCTTTATCGCACACTGAGCCGCACGCTGCTTCATCACTTTGAATTGACACGGAGCCAGCACGGCGGACGGCACAACTCAAGACCCAAAGGGCGTTCCCAAAAGAAGCGTGCCTCAATTGGAGGTCCCATGCCTGATTTTGCAACAGCTCTTTACACGAGCTCTGTTGCTGGTGCCTAGCTCTCATACCTTTGAGCGGCTGAAGCAATCGGCCCGTCACAGCCCCAGCTACCCGGCTACCCGGCTACCCGGCTACCCGGCATGTGCCTGGTCCATGCCCATGCTCACCAGCCAGTTGTTCTCGCTCGGTATCCTCCGGCAAAACGTTGGCCCTAGCGACCCTGAGCCTAATCTGCACAACCCTTGGTATGGTCGCAAAAAGCGGTGTTTGATTTATAAGCCCCCTACTACAAATGAACAGAACCAACAAATTAAAAGAAACAAACAAACACTTGATAGAAGAACAGTGAAGCAAAGACTCTGAAGGGAAAACAGGAGCAGGGAGAGGGACAGTCAACAACTGTGAGCGGGGACCTTTCAGGAGAGGCCAGTACCGAGAGCTGGGCACAACCTCAAAAAAATGACACCTTAGAGGGGGGCAAAGAATAGGGCATATAGCTCCAAACTACTACACTAAAAGGACAAAGAAACTGGCCCGCACGCTACCAGTTCACAGTCACAAAAAGCAACTTGTTCAGAGTCAAATGTCACTGGATTCGACGCTGACTAAACTTGAGGCCATCCATCACGGAAAGTTTCCTGGAAGCTATGCCATACCAGCAGCAGGCAATGAGGTGGTTGATGGCCAACATCATGAGCAGTGCGGAGACGATCTTCATCACCTGTGGAAGATGCAGGTATGCGACCCTGGATGGCCCCGTCAGGACCCCTCAAATGGAAGGGCTGATGCCGTTCCCTCCCGACATGCACTTTCAGTTCGAGCTCCAAGCGGCCATAAAGGCGTAGAGGGAGAGAAAGCGAGTGGCCAAAAGCGAAAGCTCACGCTGTAGCTTAGCGATCCGCACCAAGCGCACCTGCAGAATGGCACTGCTTATGTGGCTGATATCCTTGGTAGCTTTTTCTTGGGGTGCTGACAAAGTGGGCGCGGGAGTTTCTCAAAATGGTAAACCCGCTTTGAGTTGGTAGTTCAAGGGAACGCAAAGGGAAACTGTTGCCATGTTACGGGACCCCTACTATGAGAAACACCCACATGAGGCCTGCCGGTGGGCTGCAAAAAGACCGAGCAACTGTGAATTTGCGTGTTCACCAAGGTGGCCCGCGGAAAACTCAGATACACTGAAGAGAGCAGTTATTATGACCCCCTAGGCCCAAGCTCGCCCAACAATTTTTGCATAAGACAACGGTCGTGAGTAGCGACAGGCGAAACTGCCGCGCGCGCTCTCTCTCACACTCGCTCTCTCTCTCTCTTTCTCTGTCTCTCCCCTTCTCTCTCTCTCTCGCTCTCTCTCTCTCTCTCTCTCTCTCTCTCTCCCCCTTTCCCCAGGCACACATACAGATGCCTATGAGCGAACATGCTGCACCACCCTGCCCGCCCGCCCCCTCCCCCCCGCCAGCCCTCCGGCACGCGCACGCGCACAAAAACACAAACGCATGCACATGCACAAACACGGGAACAACATCGGCCACCAATACAAAAACAAGCGCATGAGACACAACGCGCACATATACAAGCGCCACGGTCGGATAGCGACTAACTTTTTACCCTCAAAGGGAGAAGGGGGAGGAAAACCATTTTTGTTTGCGGGATTTTGCGGGCTGGGGTGGCTGCCCTTCTGGTGGTAAGAAAAAAACAGTAAACAAGAACCCAAGCCCTGACAATCCTAAACTAACACTCAGCCAACACCAACCAGGACTGATCCAGTACTAACTAATAGTGGTTACTGAACCAAATCTAAGCCAATCCTGAGACAGCAAAACCAACCGCCCAAACATTTTGTTGAGGGGTGATACAGGGAAGCCCCAAAAGGAGAATAACAGAATACCAGTAAATGTTTCAAGGGGAGGTAATAGAGAAACAAACCATATGGCCATGGGTCAAAATCCCGTTCCCCCTGTGAACATCCCAATCCCAACTAAAATAGACTAAAATGGGTGGTGCACCTACCCCAAAATGGTACCATTGGTTGTGACCCACAGCCATATCTGGGCCAGTGCCGAGGAATAAACCGAGTCTACAGCCCAACCAGTACTAGGCAGAGAGGACCCAAAACGAGTCCTGACGAAGAGGACTGAAAATTGTCCCAATTTGTTTTAGGTGTTTCCCTTTGACCCTGCCAATTAAGGGGGGGGTTATTGCTCACTACCCAACAATACCTGCATGCATGCATGAATACATGCAAAGTGGCGGGCGAGCAGGCAACCATCACCAATAAATCAAACGAAACCAGCAAGCACACACGAAACAGACCACCACCACCACCGCCACCACCACCACCAGCCTACCACCACCACCACCACCACCACCACCACCACCACCACCACCACCACCACCACCATCACTGCCACCAACTAAACTGAGCCTTTAACTCATCTGGCCTGGAATCCACAACTAGCTCGCTCACCTCATCAACCAGTTGCCAAGGTGCTAAGCGCAAAAGCCGCAAGGTTCGCAAGAAGCGCGCAGAGCGTAGAGCATTGCCTCAGGGGGGTGCGTGCAGAATCACCCAAGGCGATGCCCAACGCGTAAAGATAAAAGTCCTGCTGACTTCAGCTCGCATCCCGCTGGCATGTCTATTCAACTTATGCAGAAGTTGCTTTTCACTTTGCAGTGCTCATGCCAGGCAAACGTAATCACTACCATGAGTGTTTTGAGGTTTGAAGCTGTTTTCCCTGAGCGTTTGTCTTCGTGTCTCCCAGCCTAGGTCCGCCCCCACAGATTCCAACGTGACCAGCGTGGCATCGATCAGTACCACCAGCACGTCCACACAAAACCTCGTGCGGCTCTGATTTTGAGTTGCTTGGGAACACCCTCTAAAATCCTCGGCGAGCACAGAAATCCCCATGTCAATGTGATGATCTGGCAAGGGTCTCCAATTGAGGTTCATTGAATTTCGTGCCCATCTTGCAGAATGGGCTGAAGATGCCCCAGCCTTTCTCAGACCCAATGTGCAAAGGATTCAACCTTTGTCACAAAGCTTGTCAAGTCAACCAGTGCCTTACCTGGCCAGGACCAGCTAAGCGAATGCTTTAGGCCTGTGCGCTCAACATGGCCAAAACTTGAACAGCGCCATACGGGGGGGGGGGGGGCTCTGTTGGAGACCTTGCCTTTTGGCTTCCCTTTCAAACCATCCAAAAGAATTACCCTCAAAAAGCACACGGTCATATTTGGCTGTTTGAGCACATGGCTGGGTTGGTAGATCTTGGCAACTCGTATGTTCCATCCAATGTCAAGCGGTTGGCTCTTTCCCTCCGGGCAGCCAGGATCGCAAGTAGATCATGCCCAGCATCCTCGGCCGGAGCTCCAACGTGCCGCCCCGCTGCAGCCCGAAGATGAGGTGTGAAGGCATGTCCAACATCCAGAAGAAGAGGGAGAACCAGTGCATACTGTCCAGGGCCTGGTGCGCTGCGTGTTCGCTCCGCACAAAAGTAAGTCTTGTAAAGAGGAGTGTGTCGTACTTTTGCGCACCCCAAGTTGTGTGGCTTTCCTGGTGGTAACACCCGACTGAAGCACCACACCCGACTGAAGGGCTTGGCTCGAAGGTTTGCTCTAAGGGTCTCAGTGCAGTCTGTGGTTTGCCGCGAGGGAAGCCTCAATGTCACTTGGCGAGTTCCGATTTAAGCGGAAGTCACAATGCCACCTCCAGCATTTGCCCTCCACATCCAACGCCCAAGCTGACCTGAAACCTTCCGGCTGGCACTCCCAAGGTTTTCCCGCAAGCCAATCCCGAAGCCATGCCGTGAACCCCAAGGAAAGGCGAAGGCGAACCCGTGCCAGGAACCGGCTCCTCGTTCTTGGCACCATCTGGCACTCTAAACCATGTGAGCCAGGGTCTAAATTCCCTGAACAAACCTTGCAATTGTTTAAGTCCCCTAAGGCCCTGATGAGCAACACCGACCAGGCAAGAAGGTCGATTTGCCCATGGCATTGAACAACTCCGAATGAAAATACCATGCATCCGCTTGCCGCATTGCCGTTCTGGATGGCCCTTTTTTCACCGCCAGGTGGCCCACACGAAGTCCGACACATCGAAGAACTCCAGCGGGATGGTGATCAAATCCCAAATGATTAAAATGCAGGCGATGATTGACCACACCAGCTGCTGCTGACTTTGCGGGCCGAACACGAAGCGCTGCAAGCAAGAATTGTCGTCAGTGACCTGGACAATCCGAGCCACTTTCCAACAAGAACGAATCTGGCTTGATCAAATAAGCGGCTAAACTCGGAATAGCCAGCGTGTGATTGGTTGCCTTGCCAATAACAAGCTTTAGAAGAGGCTATGCGTGTGAGTGCCAATCGTGGGAATGGCTGGTTCATATTGAGAGCACTCTCACCCCAGGGACAAACTCAAGGTTGAAGCCATTCAAAACTTGCGGGCATCTCACCAAGCTTGCCAAGTTGCAGCATCATTGATCTTCCCAGACCCTGCTATAGAAGCATCCATGATCTTAGACCTTGGTTGCAGGACACATGCCACGTCTCATTGTCCTGGGAAGCCATCGCAAATCTGCTCAATCAAAGCAACCAACCCCAATCAACCAAGACGGTCAACGAATTCCAAACAAACCAAGCCAAACTGAGTCCGAACCAATCAAACCATTCCATGGAGCACCCAAGTCAATTCATACAGCAAAATCAAGCAATCAAGCAAGCAAGCTGTTAACCTATCAATGAAATCTGCCGACCCCTTGTCATCATCATCATGATCATCCATCATCATCATCATCATCGTCATCATCATCATTGTGGTCGTCACGTCATCGTCATCATCATCGTGGTCTTTATTCTATAGATACATTTCAACTGGAGTCCGGCATCATCCATCATCATCATCATCATCACCATCGCATTCATCATCGTCATCATCATCCATCATCATCCATCATCATCCATCATCATCCGTCAGCATCCTTATCCTGTGATCTATTCTACTTTGTAGAAATCAAAAGGGCCGTTACTCCTTGCAATGCGAAGGATGCTGCGATGATACTTGTCAAGGCACAGCTGGGGATGCAAAGGCTGATGCGATGATGGTTATTTTGCGGATGATGACAATCATCATCAGGCATCCTGCGATCTGTTTCATAAATTTTGAAATCAAAAGGAAGGGTTGAGCCATCCAGGCACAGCTGGGAATGCAAAGGGTGCTATGATGATAAGTACGATGACGCGGACCGTTTTCTTTTTATCTAATTTTTATACGTTTCAATTGTGACATCGCTCGGGGTTGCAGTGATGCTATGATGATAGTCATCATCACGGTCTTCCTCCTCCTCATCGTCATCACCATCACCATCACCATCACCATCACCATCACCATCACCATCGTCATCGTCATCGTCATCATCATCATCATCATCATCATCATCATCATCATCCATCATCATCATCACCATCATCACGGACGGACGGACGGAAGGACGGACGGACGGACGGATGGATGGATGGATGGATGGATGTAAAGTCACATGACATGACATTATTTTGGTTCGTAATCATTATCTAATAATTGGATGAGATATAGGTGGGTGGACTCTCAGATAACATGGATGCCAGCAGGCCCTGATGATGATGGTGATGATGATGGTGATGATGATGATGATGGATGATGATGACGGTGATGATGATGATGATGATGAGGATGATGATGATGATGAGTGATGATGGGTGATGGTGATGATCCCTCCGTCCGTTCATGTCAGCCAACCAAATGAGAACAAATTGAAAGGTATCAAATCCGAATGAATGAAGTCGGCCAATCAACCAGGGAAAATCCAATCAATCAATCAATCAATCAATCAATCAATCAATCAATCCATCAATCAATCAACCAACCGATCAACCAATCAATCAAATCAAATGAACTCAAATCAAATGTAATCAATCAATCAAATCAAATCAAATCAATCAATCACATCCTGTCAGATCAAATCAATCAATCGAGTGATCGATTAATCGATCAGTCGACAAATCAACCAATCAATCAAGGAATCGATCGATCCACCGAACTATCAATCAATCACATCACATCACATCACATCACGTCACACCCTATCATATCGCACCGCATCACAAGGGAACAAAAAAAGCAAGCACAAAACCACACATTGCACACCAGCAACTAAGAACTAACCTGGGCAAACCCTGCCAGGAGCATTATAACAACCAAGCTCAATGTCAGTCAAGTTGCTTTTGCACAAGGGGGCGAAATGACATCAGCGACATGTGCCACTCTGGGCGCATAGTCAGGTCCTTGGTTGACCCAGGTTGGCACTTCCAAGTGGCCAAAACCTTCCGTGGACAAACCCCTGCGTCGACAACATGCATAGTCCCTATTGGTCCGTGTCAAGTTGACTTGAAACATAGACAACTTGAACCACAAGCACAAAGAGACATAGACACAGCGATGGTTACGTATGTGTTCAGTATGAGCACTCAAGCATATATGCCACCCCATATGAATATGTGTGGTGATGTTGGCCATGTGCTGTTCCTGTTCATCCTCAAAGCCTGGGGATGGTCGGCTTTACCCACCCTTGACCTGTGGGAAGCTTGCACCTCAGGCCTCCAAATCTGCCAGCCCGAGGCCCAGGCCAATTGCTCAGTCCTTGCGTCGTGGACTGGGCTGGCGCCCGTAAGCTCCCCGAGGTCCTCTAGGAGGCTGTGGTCCAACAACTTCGCGCAAATCAGCGCCCACCTTGATGCGCGCAACACAACGGTTTTCGGTGGGTTTTTCAGACGCTGGGAACCAGGGCTGTGGGAAATGACTAATGTGATGCAGCAGAAAGGGCTTCCCGAAGACTAACCCCCCCTGTAAAGGGGGAGATTCCCTTGTATCACAGAAGTGGGGACAAAACCCTGGGAAGGAACCTAGCCCAACCTCGCTGGTCGTATCGCAGGTTTTTGGTTGTCTCTGGCTTCGGCCACTCCCTTTTGTCAATGAAACAGCAAAGGGAGTGTGCTCTACTCTTCTGAGGACAGCTTGCACCTAATCTGTGGTGTGGGTTTGGTGGTTCGGAGGTAATGTCGGGCGATTTGGATGGCAAAACAACTGAAGGGCGTGAAGCACAAACAGCCCATCCAGCACCAATAGACAGGTGGCATGCAGAATCATTCCGGAGTGCTATCTAGCATGTCTTGTAGAAAGTGCTGTTTGTCGACCTCCATTTAAATCCCCCGACCCTCTGCCTCCCTGTCCCAGCCTCCTGCAGAGGGGACTGGCATGGGATGCAACTGATTGGAACCCATCCGGGAGGACCAGGGACTGGTCCTGGAAAACCGGTCCTGGACATCCAGGACGGGTCCCAGGACTAGGACCACTCCCGGGCCAACTCGAAGTGACTCGGGCGCGAACCGGCCCAAGCGGCAATTAACGGACGCATCTTTCTGACTTTTCCATTAATCCTTGTGGTCGCAGAGCATCATGCGCGGCCACTGGAGCTCGAGTTGAGGGAAGGCTCAAAACACTGAGGCTGCAAATATGCAGCAACCCGGCTGCATTGCCAGCATCGTCACGCATCGCCTGCATGCCCTGCATTGCCCGCAGTTGGGGCCATTCTTCCCCAAGCCATTCCTAATGGCGCGCGCGCGCGGGCGGGCGGGCGGGCGTGCGTGCGTGGGTGCGCACGCGGGGCGCGCGCGGCGGGGGGGCGGTGCGCGGGCATGCGGGTGCGAGTGCGCGCGCGGGGGGTGGGTGGGGGTGGGTTGGGTGGGCGGGTGGGTGTGGGTGGGTGGGTGTGGATGGGTGTGTGGATGGGTGTGGATGGGTGTGTGTGTGTGTGCGCCATCCCATCCATTCCTCCATCCCATGATCATTGCATCCCACGGACCCACCCATCCATCCACTCATCCACTCGCCCATTGCATTTCTTGCATGCATCCATCCATCCATCCATCCATCCCTCCCTCCCTCCCTCCCTCTCTCCCTCTTATCCGCCATCCATCGCGTCCATCCATCCAGCCCGCGCGGCGGACATGCGAGGCCGGCGCGCGGAGCACGAAAATACACTTGTTCATGCTTGCAAGCTGTGGAAGTTGTGACCTGCCTGCTGAAGGCAAAAGCTGGCTGCAAGCTAAGCCGAGGGCCGTCCCAGCCTTTCTTCTGGAAGTTGGCATTGTTCTAGAGATGTGGTTGCGCTCTCAGAGTCCTGTTGCCATTGTGATTGAATCTTCCTTGCCTGAACTTGGCCGGACCCGTCAAACCATTCAAAATGGTTGTGTAATGGACTGAGAGGTCGCCAAAGGGTATATCTGATATCTCCTCTAGATATGTGCTTTGGTTCCCTGCCAACTGAAGTCACTGGCATGCATGCTACAGAAAGTAGCTTGAACATCCCAAATTCGGAACAACGTCGAGCAACATCAGCCAATCATTGAAATGGCACTAATTACTCACCAAGCATCCAACGAAACAGCAACGTGATGCAACATGGCCTGCGAGCTGAGAATTGCTTGGCCTGCCGTGTGGTCCAACCGCCAGGCCGGTAAGGGCGTGCTAGCAGGCACTGGTCACTGGCCAATTAACTGGAAATCAGTCCAGCCCGCTGGTCATATGCGTGAATTCCGTGGGCCGTGTTGTGCATTTCAGCAAACAAGCCTACACACGGAAGACAAACATGGCCAACCCTGAGACCTCCGCGGTGCATGTCCCAGGGAGCCGGCATGCAATCCTTGTGGCGCCCAAGTTGCCTTTGACGGCCCAAGTGCACGCCCTTTTTTTCCGATGCGTCAACGGTGGAAGTCGAATCTGAATAGGCAACTGTTGACCTTCCCGACACGCACTGTCATGTGGATCGAACCGGCCCAAGGTAGTGGTCTTGCCATGTTTGCAACGGCAAGTTTGGCATACCTTTACCACTTTGTCAAACAATCAAGTTTCAGAACGACAGCCCCCAAACCGTCCTGCTGCTCATCACCAGGAGGTACAACAAAGCAAATGCCCGCATCCTGGAGGCAAACAAAAACACATGGCCTTTCTCAGTGTTTCCGCCTATTGGCATTCAGTGCATTTCTTGGCAAACACGCTTCTGTCTCAAACCTTCCATGCACAATTCACGAAGCTGCATGACAATGCTTTGGATATTAGCATTGTGGCTGACTCCTCTTCCCGAACCAGCGTCCAAAATTGAATTTCTGCATGGAAACAAAGTCCAGTTTAAGGCATAATATTGAGCTGTTCGCTGTCTTCACTTCTTCCATACCTGCCTATCTCAAGATTGTCCCGAGTTCAACCAGAAACTGGCCACACAAAATGCCCATCCACAACGTGCTCAACTTAGAATGTACAGCAGCTTTGTCGGCACAAGAAATAAACTCCCAGGGCCACCTACTGGAGGTGGGCCTGGGAGGACATAAGAGCGTTGTTAGAAGCCTTGAACGGCGAGTTTCAGGCACAAACTCGCATAAAGACAGTAAGCACAATGACATGCGAAAAGGTGTGATTCTTGCCCTGCAACCCTGGAAGCTGGAATCAGCTCCTCGCAGCTGTGACCGGAATGAAGCACTTAATGAACCGGCGAGCATGAATGCCACAACTATTCCTATGCTGCGGTGGTGGGTCCTACTGACATGGAGCACACACACACACACACACTGTGAACACACACACACACACACGCACGCCATTCATAGGACCCTGAGTTGTTCTTCGCAGTGGCTTATGAGATCTTTCCTCCCTAGCGCTATGTGAGAAGTGTCTGGGTCCATGAATCCAGGCTAAGCTCGCTCCCCTGTCCTTCTCGATATGCGCCAGCTTC